TATCCAGCTTAGGCAAGGCAAGTTTATTTATACAGCACTTTTCTACACAAGGCAATTCAAAGTGCTTTACCAAACTGAGAGACATTAAGAGCATAAAACACATAAAACACATTAGAAAGCAAAGATAATAAAACATGAATAACACAGGTTCATGAATAAAAGTTACAGTGCAGTGTGAGATGCAAATAGTTCAATTAAAAGCAGCTTCAAAAAGAAAGTCTTCAGCCTGGATTTAAAAGTAGTCAGAGTTGCAGCGGACCTGCAGGTCTCTGGGAGTTTGTTCCAGATATTTGACAATACCCCGAACCAAATTCTCACATTCCTCTACCCCTAGTCTTCCCGTGAAATTATAGTTATTTTGACAGTTTTCTAATCTTTTTCTATTCCTTTCATCCTTCTCTTTCATCCATGTTGCATCCCCAGACAACACAGTTTCCTGTTTTACTGTTACCTGAACCTATCTTTGACCTTTGAACCACTTTTCTTTTCAATTCCCAGAATTAGGATATTTAAACAGCTTATGTCATGTTCCTTCTTCCATACCTAATAAGGTCTATTCTGTAAATGAAAAAGTGATCTGGAGGATGCGGGCATCGATCCCGCTACTTCTCGCATGCTAAGCGAGCGCTCTACCATTTGAGCTAATCCCCCAAGATGCCTTCAAGTCAGTGACATAACATCAAAAACACACATATCGAGCCAACATGCAGTAGTTTACATTGAGATTTTGGATTTATAATATGACACATGTACTCTAAAAAGTACAAGTTAAATGGTATATTGCTTGTATGTTTCTTAAACTGTATTACATTGTGACCCCAGCACTAAACTGTTAGAAAAAGGACTAGGACTTATTATAGACACATGCATTTCCAAACATTTGGTCGACCTATGTTGCAAATGTATTATCTTTTCAATTTACACACGGCATCTATTGCACGTCTGTCCGTCCTGGGAGAGGGATCCCTCCTCTGGTGCTCTCCCTGAGGTTTCTCCCATTTCCCCCTTTAAACTGAGGGGTTTTTCTCTGGAGGTTTTTCCTTGTACGATGTGAGGGTCTACGGACAGAGGGTGTCGTATTGTCATACTGATATTCTGTACAAACTGTGAAGTCCACTGAGACAAATGTAACATTTGTGATATTGGGCTATATAAATAAACATTGATTGATTGACTAGTAACTCACCGTCTGCAGATAAATCCATCAAAGATCAATCATTCCTATATTTATTTCCACATGTATTTATTTTTTTATATATTTCTGTATTTATTCATACATGTATTTATCCAGCTTATGTCATGTTCCTTCTTCCATATCTAATAAGGTCTATCCTGTAAATTAAACTGGAAGTATGCTCCATATGTGTGGTTTAGATGTTACGTCACTGATCTAAAGGCATCTTGGGGGATTAGCTCAAATGGTAGAGCGCTCGCTTAGCATGCGAGAAGTAGCGGGATCGATGCCCGCATCCTCCAGATCACTTTATAGTGTAAATAAATAAATGCTCGAACCAAAACAGATACAAACAAACAAAACCGGAAATATATTAATAAACATGGAGGAAACAGAATAATACAACATTTGCTTTCATTAAATAAAAGTTTACAATACAAATGAATACATTTCATACATTTATTTATATATTCTTGTATTCATTTATTCCTATATTTATTTCCACATGTATTTATTCTTTTATATATTCCTGTATTTAGTCATGTATTTCTGTATTTAGTCATACATTTATTTATCCAGCTCAGGCAAGGCAAGTTTATTTATACAGCACTTTTCAACACAAGGCAATTCAAAGTACTTTACAAAAATGAAAGACATTAAGAGCATAAAACACATTAGAAACATTAAAAAGCAAAGCTAATAAAACATGAATAACACAGGTTCATGAATAAAAGTTACAGTGCAGTGTGAGATGTGAATAGTTCAATTAAAAGCAGCTTGAAAAAGAAAGTCTTCAGCCTGGATTTAAAAGTAGTCAGAGTTGCAGCGGACCTGCAGGTTTCTGGGAGTTTGTTCCAGATATTTGACAATACCCCGAACCAAATTCTCACATTCCTCTACCCCTAGTCTTCCCGTGAAATTATAGTTATTTTGACAGTTTTCTAACCTTTTAATATTCCTTTCATCCTTCTCTTTCATCCATGTTGCATCCCCAGACAACACAGTTTCCTGTTTTACTGTTACCTGAATCCATCTTTGAACCACTTTTCTTTTCAATTCCCAGAATTAGGATATTTAAACATTTTATGTCATGTTCCTTCTTCCATAAGGTCTATCCTGTTTATTCTATTGACTGGAGAAAAAGTGATCTGGAGGATGCGGGCATCGATCCCGCTACTTCTCGCATGCTAAGCGAGCGCTCTACCATTTGAGCTAAACCCCCGTTATGCCTTTGGAACAGTGACGTAACATCAAAAACACACATATTAACATCGAAAACACCCTTAAAGTATAAGTTAAATGGTATATTGCTTGTATATTTATTGAACATTATTACCCCAGCACTAAAACTGTTAGAAATAAGACTAGTTACTCACCGTCTGCAGATATATCATCATGGTTTTAAACTAAAGAGTCTCCAGAAAAACGATGTCAGCTGGGTCATGTGTTTCTGGTTAAAGTTCCGTTTTAAGTATCTTCCTATTGACACCGTTTTTGCGGCAACCCGTAGTATAAAATGTAGTTAGTCAAGTCCACGATTAGAAAAGCGTATCTTTAAGTCAGTTGAGAAAAAGTGATCTGGAGGATGCGGGCATCGATCCCGCTACTTCTCGCATGCTAAGCGAGCGCTCTACCATTTGAGCTAATCCCCCGTGATGCACTGCTCTAGTGATTTTGGTCCTACTTATAATGATAGACTGTATATTTAAAGCTTATAATGCATGAATTAGTAAAAAAGCAAACGTTATCCTTAATATTTGTGAAGTAGAAATACATATACAATACCTCTCCAGTAGCAGAGTCATTCATTAGATGCGGAAGGTAGAATATAGGATTAAGTTTAAAGTAAAACGTGCTTTGGTTAAAGAGTAAAAAGCATGTTACCTGGCAGGATCGTCAGAATAGTAACTTTAGCTAAACGTGTTTAAAGCACAATTTAAATATAGATGTTATCGTAAATTTAAGCGGCATAAAACACAATAAACGTGGCATTTCTAAAGGCACTATTTGTTGTAATTGACACGGAAATCAGGCTAATTTTAAACAGGTGGAGAAGATAGCTAACAGGTGTTTCGTTAACTTGCTAGCAGTACCGTATTCTGCTTATTTAACTTTCTCGGTGGCGTCTTTTTTCAAGTTAACGAAAATTAAAAAGGTACCTCCTTCGAGCCGGAATTGAACCAGCGACCTAAGGATTTCTTGCGATCAACTCTACAGTCCTCCGCTCTACCAACTGAGCTATCGAAGGGGCTGACATGGTGACATCAAAACGACATCAATTTCCTGCTTTCACGATAAAATCTATGGAAGACGGAACATATCATAAGTATAAATAAATAAATGTATGAATAAATACAGGTATTAATAAATAATACTAAGTTTATATCGTCAATGACAAGTTATTTGATTTAGTAGCTGTCCACCAGCTTGAACGGATCACTATATTTGTGGTGTGTGATGCTAATGGTAACCAACATTTTCCCCCTGGATTCTCGTTAAATCATTATTTCTTTGCACTCAATATTGCCTATCTTCTTTACTTGATCCTAGCCTAGATTCATGGCCCCTATATGGGAGGGGGGAGGACGGAGTACCAGCCATTGACTTTAGCCAAATAATTCAAAACAAAATTAACAAAATGTACTGAAAGACCCATTTTATTTTAAGGTGACTATTCTTCTTTTAAATTAAACCTTCATACCATACGTGAGATATTAGGAATACAATATTAATATTGTCAATCTAAAGGAACTGAGCCACTTTTAAAAGTTAACATTTTATTTTCTTATTGTCTAAAACGCATTTATTAAACTCATTCTTCCCTTCTCATATTCACAGTGTGGATCAATTGAGACAGTGGGGAGCCCAGAGAGCTGCAGAGACCGTACAAGCATTCCAGTTTCCTGTGACCTACATCTTGGCATTGTGGTGAGAATCTATAATATGTAAAATGTTTTTTATTATACTTTTTATTTGAACAAAATGTCATATTATTTATTCATTATTTTTTTTGTCTGTCAGGGAATGTCCTCTTGTTGAAAAGGAACAATTACATTATTTTTTTTAAGAAATGTTTCTGATTTCTATCATGCTATTTTTAGGCAATAGCATAGGTCTCAGATATATACAAATATATAAAAAACATGTCTATGAAGTGTTTTGCTCAAAATACCAAACAGATCACCCATTCTAGCCATGCCTCATATCCCTCTATTTCACTTCCTGTTTCAAAAGTGCTGATTTGGGGTATAAAGCTTTGATAAAAAAATAAAAAAGGAGGGGGCTGAGCTCATGCGGGACCCGGCAGCTACTGTCTAAACTAAATACTGCCGTGATGAAACGCCATATCATGGATTATCAAGGATTATTTCTGAAACAGTATGGAGCTCAAAGGCTTTCTCTCTTTCCGGTTATACCACAAGGTGAGTTCCTTTTTATTTCCTGCTTCTTCACACACATGCTCTCCAGTACAGGTTAGCTCTGAGTGTTAGCAATGCTAATGTAAACACCGACCATATTACGTCCAAAATAGTCGGGCATTGTTTCTGATAGCATTGTTTCTGATAGGGCCGTGGGTGTAAAGCCAGCCTACATTTCTGATATTACGTCATATCGGACGCAAATCTGGATCAGCTCCGTTGTAGCCCAGTTTTTAGAGATTTGGGTACGGAGGAAAAGAGAGAGGGTTTTATTTTCTGACACTGCGTGAGTTCCCTGACACACCGGGGACACATATTTATGTATAAAAGACATCAAAAAGTGCATTTGCATGATAGGTCCCCTTTAAAATAAGAGACTTCCCTTGAGAGAAACTGATAAAACACAGTGAGGTTGAAGTCTTTATTATAAATCATTTACATTACAAAGTAAGACATTAGTCATTGCCATATCCATCCTAACATCTTGCTAAGGGTTAGTGAATGAGCTGGTTAGAAATGTTAGGATTATTCTTAAGTGATAGCCTGCCGTACAGGGCAGACGTTGGCACGGGTTTTAACATGATCCCGTTATTTAGAACAAGCTTGTTGATCCACACAAACACAAACACACACAGAATATCATCAGCCTTCAAGTACGAGTACACTGCTTTTCGCAGATGGCGAGTGAAACAGTAGGAAGATGACGAAGCAGCAATGAGAAGATGTGCAGGACAGACAGGACAGCAGGTAGATTTCTTCTTCTTCTTCTTGACTTATATGACCTTTACCCATAATATTTTTTGCTTTACATATTGGACAGACATTCAGGTTTGTTGAAGGGTTGACTGACCCCAGACTCAGACAATAATATGTGATGAAGCTGATGAGGCTTGCAGCTGCTTTGAGTTGTCTGGAATATCTTTTTGGGTTCCCTGCTCGTTTCCAAGTTTTTTTACATAACACTTTTATATATTTTTAAATAAAAATGGTTTATAAATCATCTACAAACCTTTTATAAATTACACAATCTGTTTAACCCAAAAGGTTAACGCAACAGCTGAAATTTGCAGTAGAAAACTCAGGGAGAGAGAAAAAGAGATAGAGAAGCAGAGAGAGAGAGAGAAGACCTCTGCGTCCAGCAGTGACATAAAGATTGGTAGAAAAAAATATTATACAACATCAAACTGATTTAAAAATGTAGTCAAAACAAGATGGAAGAGTCCTTTTGAGTGAGAGTTTGTTTGTCTGACCCCACAGTGTCCAGTCACGGCTTGAGAGGCAGCCTCATTTTGGGTCAGTGTGTGTGTATATAACTTCATGTGTGTATTTTGTGTCTGGGAAGTCATCACGCTCGTGTCAGCAGCTCCTGAGCCCACGTCTTGATGGCCGAGGTGGTGTGTTGCAGCAGCTGCCACGTGGAGTTGGTGAAGGACAGAGCGTGGCCCTGCAGACATGAGACAGAAACCTCGCCGCTGCAGGAGAGAGGAGAACAGGAAGGAATGTTTGAGGGTTTGTCCTTCAACTAACCAACGTGCAATTACAGGGTATATGCAGGAATCCTGAAGTCAAATGTAAAACCTTTTAAGACCCTTTCCATACATTTTAAGACCTCATTGCCGGTTGGAGTTTTAACCGGTTACATTGGCGACACACTTTACCTCACATTTACTATATACAGTATTGATTGTCCTTCCTCCTAATCTTCCAACCATTTGGACGCAAACTTGCATTTCCCCATAACGATGTTGTTTAACAACCGGCGTAAACGGACCTTCGCGCGCTATCAAGCAGTGAGCGTGCGATGTCCTGTTCAGATGACGTCAAATCCAACGGGATGCCATAAATAAACTACACAGAATCACACTACACACCTACGCAATGATTACATTCAGGCACACTTTAGAATACAACCTCTTTGGACAATTTATATACTTATTGAAAACAAGCTACAAAATGTAATACCTTGGAAAATGCAATTTTTTTATAGCCTTAATTTTCACTAAATTGATTCATCAACTTTTAATACTTTTTAAGACCCCGCGGACACCCTGGATTACATATCTGCCACTAAGTTTTTTGCACTATACTAAAACGCGGGTGACACGGGGGTGAGCAGGAGAGGTGGGGAGAGGCGGGGCTATTGCGTCATCATTATCAGAAAATGATCGTTATAGGGCGTAGACATGGAGCCGTTTGCCCCCCCAGAGCGTTGCGTCCGCAGATCTACCCACCTTGGGACCCGTTATCGTTATCTGCGTTTCCCTGTCGGCCTCGTGTGGCATGATAGAGAACTGTAGCGGATACGACCGTTACCGTTCTCGTGTGGCTCCAGCCTAAAATAACTGACATTTTGAATAGAAACTATTTAATTGATTCACTTCTTCAATTCTCATAATTAAAGAGGTATTGCTCACTTAGACCGTCATTTTAAAGCATTTTTGAAAAACATACAGTGGGTGAAGTAAGGCTTGGATTTGGAGATGAAGCTGCCATTTAATCATTTAATTAAATGTGAAAAGAGGATCTTAAGTTACTGACCTGCAGGACTCTTGTAGCTTTGTCCACGCTCGCTGTAGCAGTTCAGAAATGAAGGCGAGCGCGGGCAGGATGTAGTTCTGATGGAGCGAGAGGAGCATCTCCTTCAGATACGCCAACGCCGTGAACACGCTGTCGGGAGTGTTGGTGATCACCTGAGGAACACACAGAGGGAACACACAAGTTCAATAAATACGATACAACTGTTTACAACTCTTCGGATTCAAAGAGGTAAACATCAAGGGACAGTTTCTCCTTACCCAATCGATGGCCTGTGGCGTCTTCTCTTTGACCCAGAGGATAAACTGCGTTGTGTTTTCAGAGATGAAGATGGCTGCTGTTTTTGTCTTTTCCATGCCTTGGTCCATCAGCGGCCCCAAAACCCGAGCACACTCGGAGTAATAATGAGGAGTGTTGGTCTCCAACCAGCTACAGAACATACAGAAACACCAAATAAAAACATGAAGTCAAATGATGACAATTAGTTTGTGGGAGGGAAGAGTTACAGACATGTTGGTCTAATGCTTGCTTTACTTACACGCACGTTATGACATAAGCATGCATGTAAGAGTGTGAGGTCGTACCTGAAGCCCTGTGATGAGTACACTTTAATTTTGCTCAAGGCCTGCTGAGATACGGCTGTGACCCCTGTGTTGCGCAGATGCAAGGCTGTGGTGGATTCTGAAACAAACAACACGCATTGTAAGACCTCAAAAACAGGAAGGAAATATTAAAGTACACTCGAAATCGACACTCTTTACCACATCAGGAGGATACGTCCCCTCCTGTCCTTTAAATATACAGTCTATGCTCCTGACCCAGAAAGCGACGCAACTTCTGGTCCAGGCTCTCATCATCTCACGCCTAGACTACTGCAACTCCCTCCTGGCTGGTCTACCTGCATGTGCCATCCGACCTCTGCAGCTCATCCAGAATGCAGCGGCTCGTCTGGTCTTCAACCTTCCTAAATGTTCCCACACCACACCGCTCCTCCGCTCCCTTCACTGGCTTCCAGTAACTGCTAGAATCCACTTCAAGACACCGGTACTAGCGTACGATGCTGTGAATGGATCTGGCCCTTCCTACATCCAGGACATGGTTAACCCGTACACCCCAGCACGTGCACTCCGCTCTGCATCGGCCAAACGGCTCGCTGCACCCGCACTGCGAGGGGGACCCAAGTTCCCATCAGCAAAAACACGTCTGTTTGCTATCCTGGCTCCAAAATGGTGGAATGAGCTCCCCATTGACATCAGGACAGCAGAAAGCTTACACATCTTCCGGCGCAGACTGAAAACTCATCTCTTTCGACTCCACTTCGAGCAATAGAATTACTAACAAAGCACTTATATACTCACAAAGCACTTATATACTAACAAAGGACTGGCTTATCTAAAGCTAGTCGAGTAGCACTTGAAATGTTCTGGCTCTATGAAACCTGATGTACTTATATGATTCTGTTTTCTTCAAGTTTGTATCTTCTTGGTCGAATGCACTTATTGTAAGTCGCTTTGGATAAAAGCGTCAGCTAAATGTAATGTAATGTAATGACTTAAAGCGTAAATAAAAGCATCAGGTCATGGTTGATGGGTCCAGTATTTTAGATTACAAACAGACAGATGCAGGGCCAAACACATGACGATGAAAAGACAATGGTTCCATTTTTGTACGCTCTGATATATAAAAATAACGATAAACTCAAGACTGACCTGCGAAGGAGCCATGGGATCTGATGTCGTGTGCGATGAAGCCGGCGGCAAACACGAGCAGAACCATGAACATTTTGGACCAGGGGAACCCACGCCCGCGCATCTTCACCTGCAGGTTCTGGAGACACGAGGGAACACTCAGACAAATATAATGCTCAATTGTATTTGTTAGCTACCTTTATTGTTTCAGGTTACACAGTGACAGTCTGTCTCACCTGGCACAGGTTATTGCAGTCCTGAAGCTCCTGGCATTCAACGGTGTCTTTCATCTCCTCATTGGTCACTCTGAAGGACTGGATCGTTTCTTCGAGGTTGCTCCGGAGCTAAAGATAGTGAAGAAAGCACAAAACACACAAAGATATCATAAAGGAGAGTTTTCCAGAAGATGCTTTCTTCATTTCGAGACGGACTGATATTGTTCTCAAAACGGAAACATGCCATAATGCTCTAATTAAACTATCTCTAGGGAGATGAGTGTGGCAGGAGGGGTCGTACCTTTGGTGGCAGGACTTTCCAGGACTTCCCGAGATGGTTCAACAGAAGACTTGAGAAAAAAGAAAGAAGAACCAACAGTCAGCCTAATCTATCAGTATTTTAAAAGGCTGAAATCCACAAATGTCAATCTTCAAAAGGTCATTTTTATTTACAATTACTACTTTAAAAACCGTATAGGTTAATATGCTTTTGCCACGGAGCGTCTTCATTTTGTGTTTTCTTTCCATTTCTCATTAGGGCTGCAACAAATGACTAATTTGATAATCGATTAATCGACTATTCGGACTATTATGCCTTTCTCAAACGCTCTTATTTAGCCATCGACTTTTAGATTTAGCTTGAGGTTGTTTTAGGCATGTGGAAACTAACAATGAAGACAATAAAGATGAATACTTGATTCAAAAATACATATATTATAAATTAACTAAACAAAATTGTGAACAAAATTAACATTGCTTATTATTTAAATTAAATAAATAATATTTCACATCAAAAGAAACAACAATGTTTTAACAAATCATATTAAATAATGTGATGACAGAATTGTAAACAGAATAGCTGAAACTTTAACAACATAAATACCTCAGTTCCCTCTAATCAGTAACCCATGTTTGTATAATTGAGTTAACTCTGTGTGTTGCTGCTAGCATACATAACACCTGACGTCTGGATGCGGTGCACTTTTGCTAAATGTTTAGACAAATTGCTCGTGTTACCGCCCTTAGATACTAAACTCTTATTGCACTTTTGGTAACGAGCATTGTCCACATCGAGACATTTAACCACACCTCAGAGCGCTTAGTTCTCTCCGCCATCTCCTCCGTGTGTGTGTGTGTGTGTGTTGCATGTTGCAGAGCGTGTGTGTAAACTGCCCCGCCCCCTCTTACACAGGCGGGGGAGAGAGAGATCAATACATCATAGTCGCATTTTGTAGTCTTATTGAATATCAGAAACGGAGTTGGCGACACTAAAACTGCGATATAATGTTTATGTAGCAATAATACATATGACCTATATATTTTAAATGTCTCCTGTACCGATAAAAAGACCGATAACGTTGGAGCTTAACGGCGTGTAAAACACAGGTAATGACGTCACCAACGAATCGACGACTGAATTAGTTGGCAACTAATTTGGTCATCGATTTTAATTGATTAAGTCGATTAGTTGTTGCACCCCTATTTCTCATGTTGAATGACTCACCTGGACTGGGGTAAGTGTTTGGTGTAGAGCTGCCTCCACACTCCCAGACTCTGGACATCCACACACAAACACTCGGTCATACTGCCAAGCAGCTGCAGAGAAACACAACAGAGACAGAAAGAGAGCTTTAACTCTGCAGGATGTGATATTCAACTCCCAGAAAACAGCTCAAGATCACACCCTACTCTAAAATATGTTTTAAGAATCGATATTGGTTTAGACAGATTGATTTTTAAACACAGAGATCAGAGAAACAGAAATCCAAAGAACATTTTAAAAGTGGCTTGGAGTTGCTGACCTGTGGTTACTAGGGCTGTCCCGAATACCATTTTTCGGGCTCCGGATATTCGGTATTAATCAGCAGCGAATATTCTGATATTCGGCGCGCGCTTCAACACGTGTATTTCGGTTTATTCAAGGCATTCATTTGGTTATTCTACAGTACTGTTGTTTTATAGTTATTTGTTAATGTAAATAACCCATTTTATGTTCTTTGAAATTGAAAAGGATATTGCATTGTGTTTGTTACTTTCGTTGCAGTTGTATATTATATATGTCTTAAGTGTAATTTGGCTTGGCTTCCTATTTTGTATGGACATGCTTTTATTTTGAAGGAGAGTTAGCGCTGTTGACAGGAAGTTGTTGTTGCTATGGAAACAACGTGACGGACAAAAGGAGCAGAGATTAACGGAGAAAAGTAATATCTAGGCCTACATATAAAGACGGAGAAAGTAAAGGATAACGTTTATAGTTAAGTGTTAGCACCCCCCGAAGAGGCACAAGCTCTTACGTTGATATTGGAGATGTGGCTGCCAAAAAAAAAGAATATCCGAATAACGAAATTGGAAACCGAATAGTGGGCCAACGACCGAATATTCGGATACAGCCCTAGTGGTTACACACATTTTCATTTTTAAAATCATTTTTTCAGAGTAATTCCCCTACAAGCTGAGGCATTTGCAGATATGTTATCTTGACTTTTTTTGACACAGGCCACCATAATTCTACTATTAACAACATAGCGTATAATAGGTCGCTCGTCAGTATCATTTATGCTACAGCACTGAACTAAAGCACCCTCAGACTACTGTAGCAGAAGATCTGTGTGTGTGTGTGTGTGTGTGTGTGTGTGTGTGTGTGTGTGTGTGTGTGTGTGTGTGTGTGTGTGTTACCTCTCTCTTCATATCATCTGGGCAGTGTGGTGTGGCCCTGGACAGAAATGACGGCAGGTATGTGTGTAATGTGCTCTCGGGTTTGGCTCCGAATGCGAGGGCCTTGAGTCGAGGGTACAGACGCCTCAGCTGATCCTGCAGACTGAACACAAAACAAAACATGTTACTTTATCACTTAACGAAAACAGTCACTGTCAGAAAAACAACAACCAAGCTATTGATGACACATTCAAATGTGCCTGTCATTTGAGATGGATGTCACCTGTTTTATGGAGATATGAATGGTAACTATTCAGGTGGAAACTGTTGGGATAATGGCCTAATGGGATAAGTAACAAGACCAAAAGGCATTTTCTCCAAAGATAGCCTTGTGGTTGTTTGATTAAGTATTTGAGGCTAGGCATCAAGGATAATTCACAACCATCTGTAAATGTGAAAATGATGTGACTGGGTTTCATTGTTTGCATTGTGTTACATTTACCCTGATGACAGGGCGTTCTTGGGCATGAAGGCGAAATCCAGTAAAGGAAAGAACTCTTTGGGCCCCATGATGCCAAATCCCTTTGTCAGGTTGGCATGAAGTCTGGGGAGAAAGAGAACAATTAGCACACATTTAGGTGTAATGGCATAGATTCATTTAGTCACACATTAAAAGCAATGTTCACTTTAACAAAGTATACCCAAACTGTTAAAAGCCTAAAGAATTTGTAGTAAATGCATTCAAAGGGCATTGAAAGTAAAGTCAAACAGTAATTGACATTTTACCCAAGAAAGAATATATTTGGTTGTCGCACTTAACATTTTAATTGTAGCTTCGTGTAATAAAAATAAAAGGTATTTGTTGTATTTGACATGACCTAAGGGAAAATCGAATAAATCAGCAATATATATGTCAGGAAGACTTACAGGAGAAGTCTCTCCAGATATGCGATGGCATATGAAGACAAGGACTTCACTCCGAGCACAGGAAGCATGATGCCCAGCCACACTGAAACACAAAATAACGAAGTTCATTAACATCACAGGGCCTTTAAGTTCCTGCCTTAAACGTGTCAACAGCCTGCCTTTTCGGACTTCAATTTTAAAAAGCCAGGAGCAATTGCAGGAGAAAAACATGGCACTTATATCTTATGAAAGGAAAATCAAATCATCAAGTCACAAGTCTGTAACTTTAAATACACTCCGCTGTAATCGTTATCTCGTGACATTTACTGTCCCTATTATAAGAGCTAATGTTGCCTACTTTATTGCATATCCCACTGGAAATATTTCAATATCAGATCAGTATCAGAGTGTGGGGCTCAGACAGGAACATCTTGGGTTGCTTAAACAAGATTACAGTGTTGCTGAATATAGTTATCCATCACATTTTAGCGAGGCTATTCAATTATTTATACTAAGATCAAGATAACACGAAGGACATTTTGTACTTGAACCTAAGTAAACTTGAGTCGACGGCGCTCGTCTTTTCTTGCCTCGGGTAAATCGAAATGTACTCAATCATTTTATTTTGTAGAAGGAGGTTGTTATATAATCTTTAAAGAATATTTGCCCTCCCACTCTCTGCCACCCACATCTTGGAGTCAGTAAAGACCAGGCCCAGAGTTTGAGCTCACAGATGTCTGTCAGTGGATGTGTTGCTGCTCTAAATGTGCACTGTTGCTTCATTTGGATAAATGTGTCTAACAAGTGACATGTAATTTGAACACAGAATTGATGTCAGCACATTTAGTTGGGAAAGTGGGAGAAAGGGGAGACACAGGCTGGGACTAATGGAGTGGAAAAAATGTGGAAACACTGTCTAGATATTTAAAGGAGTGTGTGTGTGTGTGTGAGTGTGAGTGTGAGTGTGAGTGTGAGTGTGTGTGTGTGTGTGTGAGTGTTACCTCTTAGTCCCTGGCTGAGGTCATAAAATCCAGCTTGGCCAAGAGCCCACATGATGGTCAAACACTTCACTGGACGATTCTGAACGGATCGCAGTAACTCCAAATACTAGACAAGGCCGACAAGAAGAATAGAAAGTTCAACATTATATTGCAAAGAAATCCCCAGTACAATCGACACGTTTTCAGAAGGGAAAGCAATTGTTTTATTTGTACTTTTACTTCATTAAAGTTGTTTTAGAGCAGTGGACTGAAGGACACACTCACCTCTGGCAGGTTTTGTGTCGCCATCCTGGGTTTGTCCTGCAGGATCGCCTGGATGCAAACTCTGTAGCCGTGAAGAGGTTCTCCTGCAGACAAAGAGAGAAAGGCGTTTCTTGTCAGTTCTTTAATTGTGACCCTGGTGCTTTATATATATTGACCAGCATAAACTATGAATTGACCATGTTATTGGCCTTTTTCAACAGTTCTTATTGAATGAAACTATCATCAACTAGTTTTAACACAGGACTGAGACTAAATATAGAAAGATTTAACACAATTGACCAAATCAAATCAGGATGAAAAACGTTCATGTAATCAAATTGTGATGATTTAAAGGTCACCTATCATGCTATTTTTAGGCAATAGCATAGGTCTCAGATATATAAAAAACATGTCTATGAAGTGTTTTGCTCAAAATACCAAACCGATCACCCATTCTAGCCATGCCTCATATCCCTCTATTTCACTTCCTGTTTCAAAAGTGCTGATTTGGGGTATAAAGCTTTACAAAAAAATAAAAATGTATAAAAAATAAAAAAGGAGGGGGCTGAGCTCATGTGGGACCCGGCAGCTACTGGTGAGTTCCTTTTTATATCCTGCTTCTTCACACACATGCTCTGTCCAGTACAGGTTAGCTCTGAGTGTTAGCGATGCTCATGTCAACACCGACCATATTACGTCCAAAACAGTCGGGCATTGTTTCTGATAGCAACTTTCTGATAGTGCTACATATCATACATTTGATCTACTGTGGTGTCATGTTGCAATTATGTGAGTGAACTAAATAACTATACATGACATCACCGTCCTGTTGTCAGCAGTGACTGGCAGAGAGGAGAGATATTTATGGCTGAAGGTATTTTAAACTGTTATAACCACATCCCTTATGTTTTGATCCACAGCACAAACCACTTCCACTTCTCTTTGACCCACCTGACTGTCTGTCCATCTCCCTGAGCATCGTATAAACACAGTGGTCCAAGAAATCTGGCAGAATGTCACTGCAGCGTCCGATGAGGGCTTTAATCACAGTCTTCAGCTCTTTTCCTGCAAGGCAGTATGGGTAGTCTGGGGGACAGAAACAAAAAAAGTTGGATTCATACAATTTTTTTTAATTGTCCTGCAGAAATGTTTCACGTCAGACTGTTTTGTACAAATAAACTCAAGTCAAAATAAGTCCTAAAGGGATATATTGAGTGTGTGGTGATCTTTACTCCGCCTTTAAATCCTGAGTTTGACTGACCGTGAGCGTAGCTGCTGAGCGTGGGCTCGCTCTCTGGTGCAGTCAAATTGAGGTTGAGGTATCCTGCCAGGTCTTTGACCCACACTGAAGGGTTTTCTGGGAACAGAGTTTGACTGCGAGCCAACTGCTGCTTGAGGTCCCCAACATCCAACTACAAAGACAACAAGGAAGAGAAACATTTAAGGCTGTACACGGAGAAACAACCGGTCCATTATGCAAAGTGGGTTTCAGCATGTGATGTTCAACTTGGAAGATGCTACAATGCAGCATTGATTGTGTGTGTATGGATGGAGTTATTTATAGCTTCTGCAAAGTCAATAACATTGTTTCATCTGTCCAGTTCTGTTGTGAGGATGATAAATAAATCAGGTTTTGCTACAAATTCATAGTTTTAAGGCAAAAATCACACACAGAGGGGATTTACAAAAGGATTGCACAGCTTTTGTAGCCACTAAAACTGTACAAATAAGACCAAAAAACACTGTATGAGTGTCTAAGCGCCTTCAAAGGATGAAATGCTTTCTATGCAAAAGAGCACTATTGCAAAAACAGTTACAAAGATGTGTGCTAAAAGCCACAAGCAGTTACAGTGAAATAGTTAGCGTGGTATCATTTATAAGAGGGATCACGACAGCAGTGAATTATGGCATGGTCATGCTTCCCTTGATATCTTTTTTTATGGAGGTGGAAAGACAGTTGGTTCATGGAAACACATGACTAAAGCTCCCCTACATGGCATTTTTAAATAACAGGTTAACTATTTGTTACTTTCCCTGTCCCTACTCCAACACAGCACCATTGCACTCATCTGCAAAACTCTATGGGCGTCTATCCGCTGTAACATCATTAGCACATTATCATTAGAGAGTTGGACCTTTGAGATGGGGAGGGTACCAGGTGTTAATGAGGCACCATTCATAACAGCTGCAAATCATTCACCAGGGAATATTTAGCAGAATCTTTAAAAATAGTTTAATAATTGCTTCTATTTAACTGCAAGAAATACACATTTTCAGCTTTTAAGTTTGTATAAAAGCTACATTTCAATGTCTCAAAGGCTGTCAAGATGAGATAGTAAAGAGGTGTGTGTGCATTACTCACGGTTTTGAAAGATTCCTCGAGGGTCTTGCGAGTTGCGTGGCTGACTGGGCTGATGGGCTGGGGTTTCTTGGGTGGTTTACTCGAGGAGGGTTTCTTATTTTCCGTCTCGGCTGGTGGTGGAACCTGCTCCTTGTTCTGTTTCTTTGCCATCTTCTCAAAGCTGTCATAAATGGTCTCAGACATCTTCAGGGGAGCTGAAAAGAAACAAGGGAAACTAAGACGCGTGGAGATATGTGCTTCTTTACTTCGCTTAGTTTTTTTTAAATGCAGCGAAAGCATTTTCTATGGTCTCCAACAGTTTCTTCATATGCAAACCCGTGTCCTGATAATGAAGTTAATCCATGAAACCATTGCCGTCCCCTGCCTGTGGCTCCCTCCCCTCGCATTCAGTGCGTCCTCCCTCCCTCTATGACTTGCATAATACGCTGTTATTATCCAGGACGAAATTCATGCAACACTTATTACAATCCACGAAGGAATAGAGTTAAGCACCAGCAGCACTTCAAGTATTCCCCTGTTTTAGGAGCCGATTTGTAAACAACTTCCACTTGAACTAAGCACATATGAGAGATTGACCCGTCTAATAAGTTGGCAAAGACCAAATATTTTAAGCCTATATTAGACTACTAAACAAACACAATCTTGGGTATACAAATCTTCTGCAGAACTTTCAGATGAAGCTCCATAACAATGCTACAGTAACTCACGCAGCACAGACATGTACAGTATTTAACGCCACGCAGCTGCACACAGGAGTCCCAGTCAGACCTACCCACACACTTCAGTCTGTGTTGGCAGAGCTCACCAGTTGTTCACGGATCATTCAGCTGTACAGGCTGCTGACAAACCTAAATCTATATCTGGTCAGCGTCGGTACAACACAGGGCTGTGACGCAGCGTTTCATCACACCCTGGATTCAGTTCCCTATTCAAATGTTGAGGCAGGATAACTTTTCACTTCCCTGAACTGAACACTGAAGCCAGTTGTTAGGTCTGGATTGCACGGCTTAGTATGCATTACCAGAGTTTAACAGTGAGGAAAGTACTGAAAGACTGAGTAATGAGGTAAGCTGACCAAGGTGTTCACGTCTATTAATACTGAAAACAAATATCCATACGCGTGTCAGGAAGTCAATCATTTCCAGCAGCAGCAGCTCTTGACATGAGGACCTGCTGCATACAGTAAACAAGGGAACACATGAGGCCACTCTACTGAAGACTGGGAAATGGTTAAATATGTAAATGACAGCTTTAAACATATGTGCTCTGACCCAAGTTAAATTACAAGTCAATTCCAGGACCAGGACTATAATGATCTCCTTTAGAATGAATTCATTTAGTAGTAACCTTGAGATTCTGCCCTATGAAATATACTTGAAAGAGCAATGGACCAAAAGCCTCTTAAATCCATAGTTGTTACCAAGTGTGAGTACAATCATCTTAATTGGAAGGACACAGTCAACTGGCATTGCTAATGAACATCTTTTAGCCAACAGACTGATTTCCCTCAATTGGAAGCGGTACTTGATGAGATGTACACTATGTGATATTATGTATTTAAAAAGGAAATCAATATAATGTTCGCTCTAAAATGATCATTTTAGCAGTGTGTTGAAACTGTGAAATTAGTTGTTTGCTATAGAATTTCTTACTCAAAACCAGTCACATGCAAAACCACACACACACCTCTATAATGTTATTTTTTGCTGACACCTTACTATCGTTCTTTACTTGATGTACTTAAAAAAAAAAGTAAAAACGAACAATCAAAGTTGGGAAAGAAATAAGTGGTTTTGAGATACTTTGAAAGTACTCAACGGCTTTGTTCTATATTAATGGTTTTAGGCCAGACTAAACAAGAACAGCGTTTAACAATGTTTTGGTGTTGAAAATATATTCATCAAATCAATATGACCATTTCCATGAAAGCGTCTATGAACCATAAATCAGAGAAGGTTTCCACTTCTTCAAGCGTCATGTCTACATTGAGTCATCATCAAAGACGGACAGACACAATCACTGTACTAAATTCACCCCACCCCCCCCTCCCCTCCCTCAAGCAACCTTAAAAAAAACGATTAGGATATTTGTCGAGCACTTGAGTGAACCGGGTGAATGAGGGGCGGATTTTGGTGGCAGCTTTGGTGTCTGTAAGCAGAGGGTCTTGGTGGTCTGCTGGGGTGTAATCTGAGTAGATGCACCCAACATGGCCCTCTCACAGGGTGGGTGGACTGGGAATGGATTTTCACACCAGCAGAAGAATAGCTGACAGGATTCTTCACATATAGACACAGAGCAAACCCCTTTCAGATATTTCTCAACAACAGCAAGGCTTGTGTTGCTTGTTTTTACTTGCAAGATTGCATATTTAATTAGGTGTTCAAAGTCAACTTTATTGTCAATCGTTCAGTTTGTGTGTACAGACAGAGAGATCGAAATACCCTTTCCCACAATCCTGAATACAAAAATACAAATATATATAAAAATATGTATATCCTATATACTGTATACACAATCAACAGACACATTTATACATATGCACACATTAAGATAACAACACAACAATCAATATATACCAAACAACAGTCACTTCAATATCTTGGGGACATGTTGAGGGAGCCTGAGACTTTCATGCCAACAAATGCTTCTATGTAACTGTTATGCATAAAATGAATTGAACTAAACATAACATTTAATAAACCAACAATAACGGTTTGAATGACGTCTGTTTTTGTCATCTTCTCAAGTTAGGGTCCTTTCAAAGTATGTGGCTTGTAAACCTACGTGTTGGACTGCACTTAATCTCTTCTGTTGAAACCAGAGCTGTGGTCAGACATCCTAGAACTTGTCTGGACATGTGACAAGTTAAATCTAAGTTTCAAATCACCCGTCGTAAATATGACCTTCTCAAGGGGAAGTTGTGCATATGATGCTTTGCAATAATTCACGTAAAATCTGACAGGTTTAGAAAGATAAAGAATATTAAGAGGGAAGATGGAGTAAATAATCAAGGTTCCTAGACTGCCTTATCTGAGTGATGTTCCTAGTCTTGGTTACGTTATCTCACTTTTATTTTATATTTGTTAACCGTTGCAATATTTAGGTATTTGGTCAGAGATATTGTGAATATTTTACTTTCTCTATATTACGCATGTAAGTGTTGTAGGCATTTAAGTTAATTAATCTAAATAACTAATATTTCAGTATTTATCTAATTCTTTCTGGTAAAGCTCATGGTTAGTTTCTGAGAAAAGTATTAGCTTGGTTACAATAAGTCAATACTAGAAATGTTAAGATAGTTCACATAAGAACTGTAGTCGTTGAAGAGTTTAAAAGCATTTGCCAAAAAGAGAAATTATTTGTTCGAAATAAAACCTTAAAATCACCTTTAAACTGACACGGTCACGGTCACTGTGATCAGACAGACTTTGGACCGGCTGATTCTCTGATAAAACTGGTGCGTAAACAAATAGCGGTGGAAAAGGAAGATTAAAATGTGCTGCAAAGAGAGGGTGTGGTAAATACAGACAGTTTTTGCCAGGTTTACTGAATGTAATGAATACAAAACAATCAATCCATTAAAGGTTTTTCATTTGAATTAGGCCATACTGAATCATCACACAGTAACGTGTCACAGTGAAGGCTTTTATTGTCATTCGTACATAGCTACAGTGTAGTTATAGAGAGGCGAAGTCACGCCCATCTACTTCCTACCCATGGGACCTTATTTCGGAAAAATGATGTATTGAAGTCAATGGGGAGAGAAAGATTATCTTTCGATCCCGTTTGAATTGTGCCACGAATTACACATATGATGTTTGTCAATCTTAAAAAATAATTTCCATGTCAAAAAAGTCACAGTTTGTCGTAAAACTGTTGAAATATAAGACTATGAAAAATACGCAACTAGAAACTTTACAAATCCCAGAATCCCGGTCCCGCATGCTGGCTCTTACGGAACCGACTAACTCCCCTTGTGTGTATGTACAGCTCTCAACATGCCCAGACTTGTAGTGATTTTCACCTCTTTTAATACTTTTCGCCTCATTCTGAAAGAAAGAAGTGAAATGTGCCAACGTGACGGCCGTCTTGGTGTGTGGTGCGAGACGGGAGATGTAGTTCATTGAGCGGTTTCACACAAAAAAAAAGTGTTACTTCACAGTTTTAAGACACATTTTTATTTTTTTGAATTGCAAAATTATCTTTTAAATTGACAAACATCATATGTGTAATTCTTGGCACAATTCAAACGGAATCGAAAGATAATCTTTCTCTCCCCATTGACTTCAATACATAATTTTTCCGAATAAGGTCCCATGGAGGTCCCCCGGAAAGGGAGGGACTTCGCCTCTCTATAAGTGTAGAAATAAGTTGATTAGCTCTTTTCAACCACCACATTCCTTCCCACTCTCTGAACATACCTGTCCTGGCTCCAGGTCTACTGTGTGATCATTTGATAATACACATTCATTTACAGATTTGCAATGTTTTAAGCACAAAATGGATTCTAACATATGCTCCACTCAAGACAGGGCTTCAGGTAATCACCCATGAGTCCTCTTAACTGATCATCATGCTGACCATCAGCTGATGTTGTGCTTTGTTTGTGGTGGTCTCAAACTGATTTACATACAGTAAGGCTGGGCTTTTGGGGCCCCTGGATCTCTGGGACTGAGGGTCAGTTCCCCAATTTACCAAATTGTTAATCCAGTCTTGATCCCTGCTCTAGACCTGTCACAGAACTGTGGCAAGTGTTTGTGTTTCATTTTGATTAACAGGTAAACTTGTAATGATAAATAAGAAATAGATTATATCAGGCTGTGTTTACACAAACTGCAAGTTACATGTCATCATGATAATCAAATATTTTCTTTAAAAAAAAAAAACGGAATATTGCCATCCTTATACTTTAAAAAGGGGGTTTACAAGGGATTTGATGCTTTAGCTAAGTGTATTCAAGCCTATAATTCAAAAATGATGTAATAATAAAGTAAAAAACCCTCTGATTTCTCATATCAGTCTGTCAAGTATATCTTTATTACAACACCACACCACGCATGTATTTTATTAATCACAGATTATTATTAGAATGTTTTTTTTTTTTCTGAAAAACCAAATAAACTGTCTTATCATGTAGTTATTTTTGTGTGAACCCCAAGGAAAAGCAGCTGTAGTTCTGCATCAGCTAATGGGTATCCTGAAAAATCCTAAAATACATTGATGATTCAGCACTGACAGCTGTTCCTTTAGGCCAAGTGGAAAAAAGGGGATGCCCAAGTCATTAGCCTGACATTACACTGTTGAATTACGACGCAACAACAGCACCCTTTACAAAAATGTAACAGCAGCAAAAATACCAAAAGGTCCCATATCTGCTACCACAAGCTTCAGAGGAGAAGCAGCTCCTCAGTGATGACGTTGCTCCTGTTGACACACTGCTAGCAAGCTAACTGCAACACTTTTTATCCCTTCTAGCTCTATGTGAAATAACGACATTGCCCAGAAAGGCCAGTAAGCTTTTATTTTAAAAATGATTATGTCAGCAGAGAAGTTATAAATACAGCCACTCACATTAAATGGTAGAATTAGACAACACAAAATTGTGCACGCAGGAAGTAGCTTTACTGCGTGATGCTAATGCTAAAGCTAGCAGGTCAAATCAGTTGACAGCTATGAGAATCCATTTAATTCTCCCCCGTTTCTATGACTATCATAACCGTTAAGACACCGTTTCTATGACTATCATATCCGATAAGAGACGGTTTCTACTAATATCATAACCGTTAAGACGTCGTTTCCATGACTCTCGTAACCGTTAAGAGACCGTTTCAATGAATATCATAACCGTTAAGACCCCGTTTCCATGACTATCATAACCTTTAAGGCACGGACATGAAAGAGATTATTGAGCTCCATTAGTATCACATTTTTTGTCTTATTTGAACTACTTCTGTGGGGTAAATGGGTCAGCTATTGGGGCCACTTACGTCTGGATGCCAGGATGTTAGATTCTCCCAGGGCTTTCCGTCCACCGGCTCCGGGTTTCTTGTCGCTCGGGTTCTTGCCTCCTCCTCCGGTTGCGCTTGTATTTTTCTTCCCTTTCTTCACCACCTCCCATTTACCAGCTGAGCCATTGTTCGAAGCCATGTTTTTAGTCCTGATACTGGGTCGTTTTTCTAAAGTTATGCGACTCCTTCCTCCTGCTGAATGAAACAGGACGACTCAAACAGCTCGGATCATTTAACCTTCCGCCTGCCACGTCTCTTTGGTCGGCGTGACGTCAGAGTGATGCGTTCAAAAACCGGTTCAAACCGTTACCTTCAGATTCAAACACGTCTGCATTTATATCGAAAAAAAATTCGACATTTCATTAAAGGGTTCTCATCTCACACATGATGATTTAAGAACATTTGACCTCCCCTCAAAACTAATACACACATAACCACAAATAATACATAATTCATTGTATTTTTTAAGATTACCCTATGTTGGCATCCTGAGTCCTACATTTTAAGACCTTTTATTGTATTGTTTCTATTGTGTTTTTTTTGTATTTTAGATATTTTACTCTCTGTCTGTCTTGTAATTGTATTAATCTTTTAGCACTTTCATTCCTGTTAATCTATGAGACTAACGTGTTTTGTGATATTGGGCTATATAAATAAACTTTGATTTGATTTATTTACTGTTCTCATCAAGGTGTGGGATCCCAACAGAGTCCTAACAAACCCTTATATTGACACATCATGCAAGCAAACCTTTTTTATACTGTGAACCCTGCACAATCCTCTATATTTTGCACATTTCTGCTCAACACTACCTCTTTTAAAAGCTGCATAGCTCTCCACTTGGGTCTTCAATATACTGCACATATTGTGAATTATATTCAAATGTAGTAAGTTCTTTAAGTCAAGCAAGATACAAACAATAGCAATTGTGCTTATACAAATCATATGCTACAGAAGAGCTTCTTCCAGCCCGACCTTTAGCTGAAATTATTGATGATTTGCCGATTGATTACCAATTTTCTTTAATGAATAACTAGAAATGGATTCATGTCGTCCTTGTGTGCTCTCTGTTGTTGGCTCCATCTCTAACCAGTGCCACGTCTATTTAAACTATAAAGGATGGCTGGGATCTGGGGAGCAGACGGTGATTTTGGCTGCAGTTTCTCAGTGTTTGGCGCGAACATCCTGGATCTCTTTCAAAACCTCCTTGAAGCTTAACCAATGACCACAATGGACATCTCACTGTGTCAATATGTATCTTATGTAATTTTGTTTACTTGACAATACACCTCTCTCTTGGTCCCAAAACAGGTTTCAAGTAAAAATCATTTCTCTCTAGATTTAACATCCCTGTTGTTACACTACAAGGGTTGGACAATATATACATTTTATATTTATATTTTGTGATATGAGACAAGATATTTTCTTCTATTCTGAATATCGGAATATTAAGATATGTATTTTTTCAAGTTTTTAAATTGTGTATTATGTGTCTTTACCCACTTAGTCATTATATTCACATTACTTATGATTATTATAATTGTTTTATCTCATTGTGTAAGTATGTTTTGAAATTAGAAACCCTACAATATTATAGCAATATCCAAGTGTCAACAAATTCATATGTTCATATACTCATATAGCCAGGCCCTGCTATAAGTGTGTGTTTGTGATGTTATTGGCACGGTGATAGAAAACTGCTCCTGATTAAGGAGAAATACAGCAGTAACATGTCAGAAAGCAAACACAACAATAAGGTTTGTTTCTTTTCTTGAACACAAGAGTTTTATTTTATTGCAGCAGTGACTGCAAACAATGCAAGTTTATCACAAGCTGCCATGAGATACACTTTTAAGTATTTTCTCTCAGACAGGTTTAACCACTGTCGATCACAATAAACCACACCAATAGTTCCTTGGCTGCCCCTGTGGCGGTTGAACGCTTTGCAAAATAACTCAATTAAATACGGCAAAAGAAAGATGATAGCAGCTAAAATGATTAACTCATTCAACACAGCCAAACATTAGTACTTATTAGTGTCTGTCTGTAGTTTTACATTTTATGCACTCAAAGAATTCGAAGCCTGGCATTTGTCTTGTAATTTACTCTAACACTGACGCCTCCAACTTGGCCATTTCACATTTCAATGCAAATCGAAAAAAACAAACCTCTTTAAAATAAATCTACAAAATATATAAAATTGCATCTTTCTGTATCTTCACTGCATGTTGGCATTTTAGTAAATTTGTTTTGCTACATTTAGTGCAATATCTTCAATATCCCCAAATCCAAACCCAAATCCAGAAACTGTAGCATATTCAAAGAAAAATCATAAATAAATAAAACCATAAATAAATTGTCAATACAATCATAAGCAAACCGTATGAATGAATTCGGGAGTGATGACTTCTTTATGCATTATGAGCAGTTCAAAGTCGGTGATATGTCCGGGGGGGAGAAAGGGGGTTAATGTACGTTCACGTGTCATCATAAGAAAAATGTTAAAAATATATGTGCATGCCTCTATTCTTAAAGTGTCTTCAATCCATTTATAATCTCTCCTAGTGAAGTGTATAGCCCAAATATGTTTAAACTGGTCACATTGTGTGGAAATCGCTGTGGTTTCATATGTAAACTCTGCAGAGGACCCTGATGCTCGTGTGTGGCCACAGATGAAAGTGCATGGTGAGAGAAAGTGACCTGTGAGTGCTGGATTCCTGTAATCTCATTGCTATTAACCTTTTCTCTAGCAGGCTAACCCAGCCCTGCAGTGCAGCTGTCTCCTCTGTGAGAATAAAGTCATGTTGAGTCCAGCTACTTTAAAGCAAAAGTCGACATGGATATGGACAGCCGCGGAAAAGATGGGGGAAGGAAGGGGAAGTTGTAAAAAGGAAATAATAAAAGGGGTAAAAACAGGAGGACGATAATAGGGTGGAGGATGATGAAGAGATCAGAACTCTTCCTCATCTCCTTGTGCCCCGTCGTCGATGTCTTCATCCTCTGGTGGTGCAAAGCCCTCCTGTGGAAGCAGGCTGAGGTCAGTGTACGTCAGGATGAGAAACAAAACATGGTTCACCAGAGCCGGGGGAGGGTGGATTATAATCAGAGAAAAAAAAAGAATGACCTTGTGAATTTACTAGAAAATGGAAGTGAATAGTCACAGAGAATGTACCAAATTCTTTTGTAAATTTACAACAATACTCAAATGTTTTTTTCTTACATTATACCCCCTCCCCCCGGCTCCGAAGGTTATTTAATTTTTAATCTACAATGTCCCTAATATGCCGAGGTGTAAATCTCTACTGGTTGGTGTTACTGCAGATGTCCTTGTTCGTTCTGCCAGATCAGATCCTTGTGACTACCTTTGTTTTTCACCTTGACATGAAGCTTTAATTTGGTTTCCATCAGACCTCTGAGTCACCTTAAAGATACTGCAGTTGGCTTTCTGCAGCAGCCTGATATTTTAATGTAAATGGGAAAACAGGTTTCAAAGAAAGCAGATTCAGAGGTTTACTCAGCTTTGCTAAACACCTTACCTAACTCATGACTATCCAGGTACTTTTCTAAGTCTTCCTCAGACATTCTCACAAGAAACTCTAAGGTCATTTATCTTCTGTATTGTTGCACCTACTAAACCAGTGATTCTCAAATGGGGGTACGCGGACCCCTAGGGGTATGTTGGGGGTACTGCAGGGGGTACGTGAGATACAAATAAATAAAAAGGTTAATTAAAAAAATACCATGCATGATTACAAAAATAATTTTAGTACAATAAGTTAAATAGAAAACACTATTTTATATAAAATATTCCTAGAACCACTGAGGGGGTCCTCATATAAACATGTTACATTTGTGTATTGTATTTATAGTTTTTGATAATATATCATTTTGTTCATTGGTTTGTTAATTATTGTAATTATTTATATAGGCTTTTTCTGTCAAAAATGTCCGGGGTCGGTCAGGGGGTACTTGGCAGAGAAAATGTTTTTTACATTACTGAAAAAAGTTTGAGAAGCATTGTACTAAACAATATTAATAGAAAACTGAGAACCATCTCCCTTCCATCGTTCAGCTTAAAAAACATTATTAATTTGGCATGTAAGCACATATTATTAACGTGTTAAATCTTGTGTCCTGTGATTTGAATGTGTTTACCTCTGTACTGTAAAGCACATCCATGATTTTGTTGAAGATTGGGTTTTCACTTTCGCTGTCCTGGCAGAGGACCTCAATGTCTCTCAGCTTTCCGAAGTAGAAGTCTCTCTCCTTCTCCAGTCCGTCTATAGTCAGCTTCAGGTCCTGCAACTGTGTGCAGAGAGAGGAGGGGTTTGGGTGCTCTCAATGTGAAACAGGGGATTCAGAGAAACTTCATAAACATAATTAGGTACCATCAATCATGCGATTTAATTATAAACCTGCACTGTTGGGTAACTACTACTGCTATGTATAGAAGAAATGTCTGAACAAAATGGATGAATATCGCTATCAAACACTGATAAAAAATAAATAATAATGCTGCTTATAATAATAATAATAACTATTTCTAAATATAGATACAAGTTATTCTTTCATATTCATTTTTTGTACTATTGTTTCACATTCTTTACTTTACCTGATTGTATTAACATTTCAATCTGTGAGGTCTCCCTGAATGTTCGATGTTGAGGGAGGGGAGTGTTATTTCCCCATGTGTTAATGTATGTATGTGTGACTGTATGTTCTTTCTATGTTAAAAAACCCCAATAAAAATAATGTTAAAAAATAAAAGAAATGTCTGAACAGGTGCATCCGTCAGTACCTGCTGGTGGAGCTCCACGAGTTCAGAGTCCCCCCCGTTACGGGACGTGTTATTGGATTTACGGGGTGCTGCTACAATGATCTGCTTCTGTGGCGGGGGGGCAGGTTTTGGTACTGTAGGGGAAGTCCTCACAGGTCCTGGAAGACAGAAACATACACACACATGTTATGTTTAAATATCTGCACTGTGTTGTTTTTAGTCTGCTGTCAGATTCACTTCATTTTACCCAATGCAGCTGCAACCAGTCAATTATATAAGAGTAAATGTGACCCAAAATTATTTGTATGTTTTAAGTGTCCCGCCATTCAATAAGGTCAGACTGAAGCACTCAGTCAATCCTCACAGTAAACACAGAGCTGAATCCCAGATCAAATGCACGCTGAAGGGTCATGAAAATAGTGATTGTGATGTTATGTTAAATGTTCGTTGTTTGTGTTTCATGTATTGTGTCTGGATATGTGTCTATGTTGGTGTTGGACATGGAGCTGCTGTGATGCAAGTCAAATGTCAGACTTGATCTGACCAATAAAGTATTATCGTATCCTATCTTATCGTATCGTAAGTCATTCTTACTCTCTGTACTAAAGGGTTGTGTTGGGAGAAAAACAATGAAAAGATGCGAAGAAGGAACAAGTTTGCAGAGATTTTAATATCTTTTTTCAGCCTATTCATATATTAACGAAACCTTTAAAACTTCTGACTGTCGAAAATACATTTAATGAGATATCAAGATTTTAAACTCTGGGTTCAACCTTTTTTTTCCAACTTAAAAAATAAAAATAAGATATCATACTCATCGCATACAAAAACAACTCAACACTTACCCTAACCTAAACTGACTTCCTACCTTACAACGTTAAAGCCAAGTCATTCCTGTCAACAAGTCCCTTCAAGAGATAAGGAGAGGCCTGTAACTGTTTCTAACAAGATACAAGTACAAAAGGAAACCCACACACATGCACAAACACTCACAGATTATTGCTAAGTATCTTTGCGGTTTGCTTTAATATTATTACCTTGAATAACAATTCACGTGTCACTACTTGAATACTTCACTGCTAACACTGTTTGATCTGACGCACACGTACTTGTTGTTCTCTAATATACTGTAACTTTGGTTGGATGTCTTCTTTATTTTTCCTGCCTTGCAACTTATTTACATGCAGCACATTCAAATATTGATTGGCAGACAGACCAACAACTTGTGAGTCATAGCAGGGAATCTTGTGAAGGCTGCTTTTGTAGAGACAAAGTCCAAAAGACTTGTGAGACTGTATAAAACAATTAAAATGTACCTTAAATCAATAAACAGTTTGAATGAAGAAAAAGTGACTGCGCACGCACGCAACAACACATGCCTAACCCTAACCAAGTCTACACCCTAAAATTAATGATTCCCCTCATGGACCTCCATTATGTCCCCACACGTGACTGTGTAAACAGATTTAGGTCCCCACAAAAATAGTAATGCTAGGCCACACACACACACACACACACACACACACACACACACACACACACACACACACACACACACACACACACACACACACACACACACACACACACACACACACACACACACACACACACACACACACACACACACACACACACACACACACACACACACACACACACACACACACACACACACACACACACACACACACACACACACGATGCAGAAGATGTTACCTGAGCGAGAGGGTGGTCTTTTAGGTTTGCTGGGACTGTGTGCACCTGGGTTAGAGGTGGGGATGTTTTTCCATGAAGACGTGAGACCAATGAAATGAAGCCTTTGAGTTCACACACACACACACACACACACACACACACACACACACACACACACACACACACACACACACACACACACACACACACACACACACACACACACACACACACACACACACACACACACACACACACACACACACACACACACACACACACACACACACACACACACACACACACACACACACACACACACACACACACACACACAACCCAGATAGATAGTGAAGTGTGTGTTGTACCTGGGTTTGGTGGAGGCGGCGTTCCCTCCTGGCCCTGCCGTGACATTAGAGGGTCGTATTCTTTCCCGTCGAAGTTGGCATCGAAAAACTTCTTAAACCACTGAAGGAACTCAAAGTTGTCCTGAAACTTTCCTTTAACCAGACGCTCCACTGGGATGATCTGAGGGAAAAACAGAGAGAGAGATGAGTTTTCTTAATGTTTGGCTATGAAATTTCACAAAATAGCGATAAACTTTTGTCCTAGTTTTTCAAATTCCGAGGATAAGTCTTTATATGTCTCGTTTTGTCAGACCAAAACCGGAAGCTATTCATCTTAATTGGATATTAAACAGAAAAAAGCACAACATCTTAATTTAGCAAATGTCTGCATGAAAAGTAGTTGGTTGTAGTAATCATTTGTCTGTCTATCAACTAACCTATTAGTCGATAAATTGCTGCAGCTCTAATGGTCTATAAAACATTTTTTAAACAGCAGATAAGACAACCCCTGGATACAGATATAAAGAAAATGCTACTGCAATAAAAACAGTTTGTGATCAAGGGTCACTACTATATGAAATTACAATAACAACATTACAATATCCAATTACAAAATCTGGGGATAACATGATACTTGGCCACACACAGAAGGCTATATTTAAAGGGGACCTATCATGCAAAATGCACTTTTTTATGTCTTTTATACATAAATATGTGTCCCCGGTGTGTCGGGGAACTCACGCAGCGTCAGAAAATAAAACCCTCTCTCTTTTCCTCCGTACCCAAATCTCTAAAAACGGGGGTACAACGGAGCTGATCCAGATTTGCGTCCGATGACGTAATATCGGAAATGTGGACCCACGGCACTATCAGAAACGTTGCTATCAGAAACAATGCCCGACTGTTTTGGACGTAATATGGTCGGTGTTTACATTAGCATCGCTAACACTCAGAGCTAACCTGTACTGGAGAGCATGTGTGTGAAGAAGCTGGAAATAAAAAGGAACTCACCTTGTGGTATAACCGGCAAGAGAGAAAGCCTTTGAGCTCCATACTGTTTCAGAAATAATCCTTGATAATCCATGATATGGCGTTTCATCACGGCAGTATTTAGTTTAGACAGTAGCTGCCGGGTCCCGCATGAGCTCAGACCCCTCCTTTTTTATTTATCAATTTTTTTAAAGCTTTATACCCCAAATCAGCACTTTTGAAACAGGAAGTGAAATAGAGGGATATGAGGCATGGCTAGAATGAGTGATCTGTTTGGTATTTTGAGCAAAACACTTCATAGACATGTTTTTAATATATTTTTATATATCTGAGACCTATGCTATTGCCTAAAAATAGCATGATAGGTGACCTTTAAGATACTGACTATGTATTCACAACGTTTCCTGTTTAATTGATCATTTTTGCACATCACCCCTTCTATCACTCCTCTTATTTCTGTCGAATTAGAGTCAGAAATACCTTTACCCTTTTTTCTTTCTAACTGTAACTCAATAATGATCCTTTCTTGTGTGTGTGTGTGTGTGTGTGTGTGTGTGTGTGTGTGTGTGTGTGTGTGTGTGTGTGTGTGTGTGTGTGTGTGTGTGTGTGTGTGTGTGTGTGTGTCTGTTCTCACCTTGTCCACATTCATTCTCTTGAATGAACCCTGTAAGACTTTGAAATTGTGGATGTATTCATGTTCCAGTTTAGCGTTAAACTTCACTTTCTTCATTAATATGCACCCAGGAAACAGCATGTCCATCAACTGACAGTAAGCAGCACCTTGAGGGACAAACAAACATTTAGTTTAAGAGCTTGATGTACATTTCAAATTTAATTATTTGTTTATTCCACACATGGCAGTTATTTTAAAACAAAACATGAAAAACTTTACAAAACATGTACACTTATACTGGTTGTTTTTTTTATAGCGCATGGTGGAAAGGAGCAGGGAGAAGAACATCTTATTTGACCTGCCCCTTCTTACAAAACAAACAAATGAAATAACCATTAAAAAGTAAAATAAAAGCAATATTCTTTCAGTCACTTACAAATACTGAAACATAAAACCTGAACACAATCAAAAGTCAACTTCATACTTTCTAATTACACTTTCTTAAACATAACAATGTTCTTACAGCCCTTTAAATCATTCTGCAAATAATTCCACTTCTTTACGCCGACTACAGAGACACACATCTGCTTTAAAGTAGTACGTGCAAACTGATGCTTAAAATGTAATTTAAACATTTAACCTTATAAAGAAGTGGTTGTGTGTGTGCTCACCTGAACAGAGATGCTCGATCTTTGTGAGAGTGAGCTGCAGAGAGTCGTTGACCCACGCTAACATGTCATGACGACTCAGGTTCTCTATAGTCATAGAGGTGGAGACGACATTCACCGCCATCCTCCTGAGAGACACACACACACACACACACACACACACACACACACACACACACACACACACACACACACACACACACACACACACACACACACACACACACACACACACACACACACACACACACACACACACACACACACACACACACACACACACACACACACACACACACACACACACACACACACACACACACACACACACACACACACACACACACACACACACACACACACACACACACACACACACACACACACACACACACAGCATTGTACAATACAAATTAAAAGACTATAAATACACATTCCAAAATGTAAACTTCTCAATAGAAATAAAATAGCATTACAAAAAGTAGAAAATATAAATGTTGAATGACACGTTTACAGTAACAAAATATAAAGCAGGATTTGATATATACATAAGTATGTGAGGAATATGAAATATTAGATTGGATATAAATGTAAAATGTACAGTGTGATTTTAAGTCCAGTTGTCCAAGAAGCTATGGAGCAACTGTGTTTGTATATACACATATATAGAGGGCTGTATGGAAATACATTGGTTTTATTCAAAGCTTCTATTAATGGTGTTACCGAGTGAAAAGAGCTGTCTCTTACAGACAGAACGACTGCAATAAAAAAAAAGACTACCATAAATAAAGAGTTTCCAACTGTGCTGGATCATTATAGTACAGCAGATATGTGAATGAATTGTGCTTTTGATGATAAAAACATGACATTTGACACACTGTTAGAGCATGCCCTAAGGAAGATTTTTGGCTAAAGGGCCATCGCATATTTGTCCAATAGAGTGGCGAAGTCCCGTCCATCTACTTCCGCCCCATGGGACCTTATTTCGGAAAAATAATGTATTGAAGTCAATGGAGAGAGAAAACGTATCTTTCGATCCCGTTTGAATTGTGCCACGAATTACACATATGATATTTGTCAATCTTAAAAAATAATTTCCATGTCAAAAAAGTCACAGTTTGTCGTAAAACTGTTGAAATATAAGACTATGAAAAATACGTAACTAGAAAGACTACAAATCCCAGAATCCCGGTCCCGCATGCTGGCTCTTACGGAACCGACTAACTCCCCTGTTGTGTATGTAAGTGATGTCACAATTGTTTTCCTCCACTAAGAGATAGCTAAGATCAGCGCCATATAGATATAATCTATCTATATGGCGCTGGCTAAGATAAGATAACTTTAACAAGATGCCTGTGTGCTTAGTACCAGGTTGTTATCATACCAGCAATGGGTCTTGCTCGTTCTTTCGCTTCCCGTCTGATGAAAGGACTAGGAGTGTCTTGATCAAGCTAGCTAGTAGCTAGCACGTTAGTTAGCATTACAGCCTTGTCATTTTTATTAGCCTTAACATGAAGTAACATTAAGTAACCAAAATGTTAAACAGTAAGAGTAGTAGTCATATTTCGTGAACCCTTTGAATAGTACTGTCACCGGTGTGATCATTCTATAATACACAATTTAAGCCCGGGGGAGAAATGCTAACGCTAACATCTGCGATCTTCTCTACTTCATGCTATCTGCGCAAATGGTTGACATTAAACATTAAAACGACCAGGCAGTTCAGAGAGAATCAAAGGAAGGCAGGCAGGCAGCTTTGCATGACATTCTTCAGGACGTGTTTCATTGTGGTGATAGTGAGGATAGTCAATCGTTTTGTTGACAAGACAGTAGTGACGGCCATCTTGGTGACGTGTGTTGTTGACCAGAGATGTAGTTCATTGAGCGTTTCACACAAACAAATGTGTTACTTCACAGTTTTACGACACTTTTTTTTTTTTTTTGACTTGCAAAATTATCTTTTAAATTGACAAACATCATATGTGTAATTCGTGGCTCAATTCAAACGGGATCGAAAGATAATCTTTCTCTCTCCATTGACTTCAATACATAATTTCTCCGAAATAAGGTCCCATGGAGCTCCCCCGGAAGGGGAGGGACTTCGCCACTCTATGGCGCCAAATGGCCGCCATTGCTAGAATGTAGCTAACTACATGTATCTGGTATTCAGGGAACAAAATACACAGTAAAACCATTAACATATTTATTATGGTGATTATGTTACTAGGGATGCTCCGATTGGGAATTTTGGGGCCGGAATAAGTATCGGTTGATACCAATCGCCGATCCGATCATAGGGTGGGTGGGGGCAATGCGGATCTTCCATTTAAAGTTTAAAACTCAGTTAATGGGGCTCATTTTTATATTGCTTCAGTTTATAATCGTAACGTATCGAAAAGTTCAGATTAATTTTTCAATAAATTATACACTTCCGCAAACAACAACCAACATAATTATTACTAGGGATGTCCCGATCACCTTTTTTTGCTCCCGATCCGATTCCGATCATTTGATTTTGACAATCTGCCGATACCGATTTTTCCCGATCCGATCTTTATGCAATGCATTAAGAGGAAAAAAAAGGTAACAGATAACGGCTGGTCATCCAACGCGATGAATTCAGCTATCTTGGCTGTTATTTTGTTGGCCTTTTCACTGTTCTGGGGTAGTTTCTCTTTCCTTTTAAAAGTCTCTGAAAGTGTCGGTTGTTTCAGTGCCGTTAGTTTCAGTGCCGTTACCTGAGTGGCCGCTGTGTACTCGTCGTGTTGTTGTTGGTGGTGTTTGTATTAGATTGGTCGTGTTGAACGTAGCTCTGTTCTTTCCACCACGCGGAACCTCCGCCTTGCAAACATTGCATCTGGCTGTTACACTGCCTTCGCTTTCAATTTTATAATACTTCCAAACTCCTGACATTTTCTCTGTCCAGACTCCCGAGTCACCAGCTGAACGTAGCCTCTTGTTAGCTTACTGCTACTATTAGACACTGCGCCCACTCTGTTGCCAGATTTGAGAGAAATAAGCAACCAGGTCTATGAAAACAAGCCCAAAAGAAGCAACACATACATGATGTTGTGTAATTTTAACCCAAAACTAAGGCCTCAGGATGACTTTAAGACGTGAACATGGTCATTTTTGTTTTGTAACATTAAATAAAATGTATAAAAATATTTTATAAAAAAAAAAAAAAAAATTCCGATCCCCGATATTTTTCTCCCGATCCCCGATCACGTGAAAATCACGTGATCGGCTCCGATCCCCGATCACGTGATCGGATCGGGACATCCCTAATTATTACATTCAAATGAAGTACATTATTCAAGTTTACATTAACTTTGGATAATAACACGGGAGAAATGAGTGGAAGCGCTCTCTCTCCCTCTCTCCCTCTCTCTCTCTCTCTCTCCTGACAGCCTGTCAGTATCTCATGCAGCTCACTGATCCAGTAATGAGTGACCAGACAGTGAAGAATAAACATATTTATAACTAGTTTAGCTTGTTCCAGAGGTAGATAAAATAGCTAAGTGTGTTAGGTCTAACCGTTGACAATTCACGTGGGCTGGTCTGGGTGATATTCCAGGGCTGATTTTCCATGTATCCCACGCCGTCTTCTTGCCCCTTCCACCAAAAGATGACACTGTCACATCCAGTAAATGCATGGAACATTGGTAAGGCTATGCATCGATCTGGACCTAGTGACCTCGCCATCTCATGAGCTGCTAAATGCCGAAAACTCTTCCCAGCTCCAAAGGCAACCCACAGCTCAGTGATGTCGACATCAATTCTGCTGACATGCTCCAGCTGAGACAGGACGTATGGTGAGAACACTTTCTGCGCATAATCAAAAAACCTCTTAGCAGCACCAGGTCGTAGCATGTTCACAAGGGTAGCCCCATCAAGGATGAGGCCTTAACTGTGGGGTGGGATGCATTCTCTTGTAAAGAAATCAGGTCCTCCAAACAGCCCACCAAGTCTGACTTGGTACCAGTTCTCAGCTTGCCCATTTGTGATAATGATGGTGGACATGCCTGGTTTTCAAGTTTATTATATTTCACATAATTAATCCAAAAAACCTCATCCAGACTTCCATCACGTATCTCAGATACAATGTACAGCCAAGAGAACAGAGAACAGTCATTCTTCAGAGATGAGAGCTGTTGTTGGGACCTGGACTTCTCTTGGACTGGAGGCCGGCTGAATGGAGGGAAATAAGAGAGGCCGACTTCCTACTCTTCATAAATGCCCTGACCAAGATTGTGCCTTGGTTCCTTTCTCTGGGACACACCCACTATGCCGGATGGATACCAGTCCACTTGTGTGACATGATTGTGCTAAAAGATAACCATCCTGATGTCCATGGGCAGTTTCTGAAAGGAAACTTTGCTGTGAAGAAGACGACACGCAGCTTCTCTGCTATTGTCATTGACCAGGCCCACGAGCAGAACAATGCCTCTGTGAAAGGTGATGGTGGTGCTGTGGGCCTGACAGAGAACCCTGCAGCTCTGCGACGATGGATGGTGTCTGGCCCCGAGATGGCACGTGTGGTTGGGGAGTTTGAGGCCTCTACTGAGAAGAGAAAGGAGACTGACACCCGGCACCATGAGCAGACCAAACATGCACAAATGGCATTTGCACGAGATGTTAAAGCACTAACTGGTGCTATATAAGACATGGGCAATCCATTCTGTGAAAAGAGCAGTGTATTTCTTCTTGTACTGGATACTAGAGACCTTGCAGACGCAGCAGTCATTGATACTCTGAACCAGATTGAGAAACTTGGACAGGACGGGTATGACACCTACAGTGGAGAAAATAAGTATTTGATCCCTTGCCGATTTTGTAAATTCACCCACTTACAAAGAAATTAACAGTCTATAATTTTAATGGTAGGTTTATTTTAACAGTGAGAGTAAGAATATCAAAAAGAAAATTCAGAAAATTACATTATATAAAAGATAAACAATTATTTGCATTTAACTGTGGGAAATAAGTATTTGATCCCCTTGAAAAAACAAGGAGTCTGGCTCCCACAGACCAGTTACATAAGTCCATTTCCTTTAGGAAAGTACCCCTCATATCAACTTGTTACCTGAATAAAAGACACCTGTCCACAGAATCAATCAATCAGATTCCAGCCTCTCCACCATGGGCAAGACTAAAGAGCTGTCTAAGGACCTCAGGGACAATCTCTGAAGACTGCACAAGGCTGGGATTGGCTACAAGACCATCAGAAAGCAGCTTGGTGAGAAGGAGACAACTGTTGGTGCCATTATTCGGAAATGGAAAAAAAAAATGGACATCAATCAACAATCAATCGCCTTCAGTCTGGGAATCCACACAAGATCTCTCCCTGTGGGGTATTGATGATCATGACAAAGGTGAGGTATCAGCCAAGAACTACATGGGAGGAACTTGTTAATGATCTCAAGGTAGCTGGGACCACAGTCACCAAGAAAACTATTGGTAACACACTACACCATAATGGATCAAACCCTGCAGCGCCTGCAAGGTCCCCTGCTCAAGAAGAACATGAAAGGTCCGTCTGAAATTTGACAATGAACATCTGAATGATTCAGAGAAGGCTTGGGAGAAGATGATGTGGTCAGATGAGACCAAAATGGAGGTGGAAACATTATGCTTTGGGGTGTTTCTCTGCTAAGGGGACAGGACAACTTACTGCATCGAGGAGAGGATGGACGGGGCCATGTACTGTAACATCTTGGCCAATAGCCTCCTTCCCTCAGCCAGGACACTGAACATGGATGGGTCTTCCAGCAGGACAATAAACCTGAACATACGGCCAAGGCAACACAGGAGCTGCTAAAGAAGAAGCACATTCAGGGGATGGAGGGGCCTAGCCAGTCTCCGGACCTTAATCCCATAGAAAATCTGTGGAGGGAGCTGAAGCTTCGAGATGCCAAGCATCAGCCTCAACACCTTGAGGATTTGGAGAGGATCTTCAGAGAGGAGTGGACCAAAGTCTTCCCTGAGATGTTCACAAACCTGGAGACCTACTCCAAGAAGCGTTTAATCTCTGTGCTGTCCAACAAGGGTTTCTCCACCAAGTACTAAGACATGTTTTGCAAGGGATCAAATACTTATTTCCTCCACTGTAGGTGTCATACCAATCCTGTCCAAGTTTCTCAATCTGGTTCAGAGTATCAATGACTGCTGCGTCTGCAAGGTCTCTAGTATCCAGTACAAGAAGAAATACACTGCTCTTTTCACAGAATGGATTGCCCATGTCTTATATAGCACCAGTTAGTGCTTTAACATCTCGTGCAAATGCCATTTGTGCATGTTTGGTCTGCTCATGGTGCCGGGTGTCAGTTTTCTTTCTCTTCTCAGTGGAGGCCTCAAACTCCCCAACCACACGTGCCATCTCGGGGCCAGACACCATCCATCGTCGCAGAGCTGCAGGGTTCTCTGTCAGGCCCACAGCACCACCATCACCTTTCACAGAGGCATTGTTCTGCTCGTGGGCCTGGTCAATGACAATAGCAGAGAAGAGGTCGCCAAGTACCTTGAGTGCTGCCATCTCAATGTGAAACCCAACAAACATCACAATAAAATGATCTTCACTGTGAGTTGCTGGCCAGCTCCACTGGATTTGTTTTGCCACAGCGTATAGAGGTTGATCCGGAGTGATCTGACCAGGATTCAGAATCTCCAATGCCTGGCTTGCCACATCCATGGAATGACGAATCATGGCCACCGATTTGGCCTGGTCGTAGAAGAGGGGAAGTAGAGAAGTGAGTGTGACACTGCTCTCTGGTATTGTATGACCGCACTAGCATCCAGGAGTCAGTCAATCAGGCACGCAAGCAGCTCTTCACCCAGAAAGGTAGAGCAATTGAAGGACTCCCTCCAACACAAGCAGCATTGATTCAGCACACAAAGAGAGCTGCCTTCCAAGCTGGTCACTGCTGGGGACAGATGATGTTTGCAGGCCCTGAACTCCCACCCCCAGGTGACTGGTGTGGATGCAAAAAGGGGTGCAGTGGACAATGCAAATGTGTCAAGGCAGCAATTCAGTGCACTGCCCTTTGCCACTGTGGTGGACTGTGTTTTCAGAACTAAGTCTGCATTTAGTTGAAAACCTGTAATATTACATATATATTATGTAACATGAATTACTTCACCATAATGAATATGTTAATAGTTTTACTGTGTATTTTGTTCCCTGAATACCAGACACATGTAGTTAGCTACATTCTAGCATGTTGTAAATAGTACCACTGCATTCCTCATCTTTGAAAATGTAGGATTAGCCACCAGAATCAAGATCCTAGGTGGTCTAGATCCTAAGCTACTGGTAAAATAACAACCAATGGCGGCCATTTTGCACCATTGGACAAATATGCGATGGCCCTATAGCCAAAAATCTTCCTTAGGGCATGCTCTAACAGTGTGCCAAATTTCATGTTTTTATCATCAAAAGAACAATTCTTTCAGATATTTCACATATCTGCTGGATCAATACTAAATCAGTGGACATCATATGACTCAAATAAAATCAATAAGAGATAAAACAGCAACAGAAATGTTGTAAAATAATTGGTAAAATGTGACAGGAAACAAGTTATATTCAGAAAATCAATCCAATTAATATCCTTTTGAAAATGGGAACAGACTTCATTAAACAAAATTATAAAAAGAAACCACCACATTTTTTATTAAATCAGAATCATGTTAACGGTTATTTATTCCATTTTATCATTGTATTATCATGAGATTCTCACACACACACACACACACACACACACACACACACACACACACACACACACACACACACACACACACACACACACACACACACACACACACACACACACACACACACACACACACACACACACACACACACACACACACACACACACACACACACACACACACACACACACACACACACACACACACACACACACACACACACACACACACACACACACACACACACACACACACACACACACACACACACACTCACTCTCTCTCTCTTTACTCACCTACGCTGGGTGTGTGTTTGGTGTGAACTCTTTAAATGGGGTTGTGGTAGACCACCTCACAGAAAGACCTGGAGACAGAAACCAGTATCATGTTATACATCTGTGGTAACAAAAATGAAACTGCAATATAAAGATAATAATACTTCTAATTAGTTTTACTGCCAACTCTTAAAATCTATCATTATTTAACAATGATGCATCACTAGATACATTTTTGGATTTTTTATTTTTCAAAAATGTTGGCTGTGTTAATGCACATGACATAAGTACTGGCAAGGGAGTTGAGTCTGTCTCTTATTTACGTCTTTGAATAAAATAAACTGTGTAGCCAAAATGCATACCTCGGAAGGACGAAAAAAGTCCCCATTTCAACCCATTGAAAACACACAATTCTTGACCTTTTACAGCAAAAAATAATGCACTCTATTATTCCAGCCCCTCCATCTAGACCCCTGGCTTCTTAGTTGTATTTTTAACGTTTTTTTAACCAGATTAAGCCATCTCCTCATGTTTGCCCATGAGGCAAAAACAAGCTATTGTCCTAGTTTCCTGCACAAGGAACGCAACTGTATCACACTCAATGTTGTTATTATTGACTGTGATATTATAGTCTGTGAATAAAAAACTAATTATAAATAACATGCAGGAAATTATTAACTAAGTTTGTGTTTTCTAATTAAAAAATCGTGGTTTTATGTCCAAAAATATGGTTACATTTCTGAAAATGAAGGTAGTTTTGATCAGGACAAAGTGCTTTTGAAGTCATTCTGTCCTGTACATCAAAGCGACTTGTTATTAAAGTGGAACACAACTTCCTGTCCGCCTGTGAGTCTACTGAATGGTCAGTACAGTTTAGTGTCCTGATCAGGAGCTCCCATTAGGTTAACAAGGAGAAACAGCAGATAAACTAGCAGTCATTCACTGGTCACTAATCTCTGCCTCAGTGTAATCCCTTTAGCCTGGGTTGAGCGTGTTGAAACTGGTCATGTTGCACAGAGGAAGCTGTGATCACCAGATATACAATCCAGCAGGCATTAAACAAACACAGCTACCATTTATCACACTGACTGCTCGGATAAGGAAACATCCAACAATAGCAAAGCATTTCCTGTGAACGGACTGCATGCAAATAACCCTGGTCCACTACGGCCATTTTTACCAACATTTTCTTAGATATGAAAATGATGATGTTTGGACCAGGAAACCTCTGCAACATAAGTATAAATAAATGGTTCACATGAGAAAAATGTCATATATCAGATATCTAAAATCCACCAGTTTGCAAAATGTATACAATGCCAAGAACTATAAACGAGTTGAGACACATTCAATTACATTTTTTAACGAGGTTGGCAGTAACATTAAACAGTGTGCTGTTTAACACAATGCCAAAACACATAAACAAGTTAAGTTTAGGATCATTATTTGCTCCTATGAGCTGCAAATATATATATACAAAACTAAATCTTAAAGGTCCCATGTCATGCTTTTCCGGTTATTACCCGTCCCCTTGTGTGTTATGAAGGTTTTTCTGCATGTAAATGGTCTGCAAAGTCACAAACCCTCAAAGTACACCCTGTAGCAAGTAAAACTCTAACACAGAAAAGACCTGTCTATGCTGCCCCAGAACGCCTCGTTGGAGATTTTTCTTTTTCTTCCTGGGTACAGTGACGTGCCCATACCCAAATGAACCCATTGGTCCAAATGGACCAATCCGTGGAGCCATTACGTTACGTCCGCGGAGCCGTTACGTTACGTCCGCGTGTTCCTCACACACACACTCAATCTTTTCTCAGCTGCAGCTCCGCCGATTTCTCCTCCCTGAGACGGTGGGATGCGGCGAGGCTGTGAGTCGGTGTGTGAGCACACACACAAACTCCCAGCCAGGCTGCGGGAGTGTGTGTGTGTTCGGGCTGGGTTTCGCTGTGTCTCGCTGTGTCGCAGACGGCCACTGGGCTCACAGGGAGGGGGGGGCAGGAGCTCCAACAAGCCGTTTAGGACAGAGAGTGAATACACATACTATACAGAGATGCTGTATGAGAAACCAATGAGATTTTGGGAAATTGCACAATATAAATCTATTTTAGTATACCTCAACAATGGAATTATTATCAGTAGAAATGGCCATGACATGGGACCTTTAAGTACAGGCTAAGGGTTAGGGTTAGGGGTTAGGGTTAGAATATTGCAAATACTATCGACATTATTGCACATACATTTGAGAACATTGTAAGGATGTATTCCAAGATGACACATGGTAACAATTGTTTTTAAAAGTAGCAGCATTAGGAACCATGCTCACTTGATCGGAGATACCTGAGGAAAACTTATAACTCCATAATAACTGATGAAAGTCATGCAGTATTTTGAGATGATTCTTATTTGATTTATCTTACCAAATATGTTTTTATTATTAAAATAAGTGACATTTGACCACAAGAAAACAGCCTCAGGTGGACAGTTATTACACGTTGTGATGTTTATTCTCATATTCAGCAGATATAATAACCGTTAGAGTAGGTTATAACTACAGACTTTATAGTTATAAGTGATAATATTTTAATGTATCTTACCAAACAGGTTTATATTATCCAATAAACGAAATTTGACCACAAGTAAAACAGCCTCAGGTGGACAGTTGTATTGTAGGCTACTTGGTGATGTTTATTCTCAGCAACTGTAATAAGGTCTGGCAGTTAAAGTAGGTTACAGACTATGTAGTAATAACACATGTAAACTATCCTGTGTGTTTGTAAATAACTCCTCATCCCGGTGACGTACCGTTAACGAGTGTAGTGACAGACGTTACAGCCGCTGTGTGACTGTCACGTTGCTAGCTGATAGCTAACACTGCTAACCTGTTCTGCGACTGACTGTTTATTTTTGAATTTACACACTTTCAATTAAATGTAATTTCACCATAATGACAGTAGAGAACTCAAAGTATTTCCAACTACAACTGACTTGTGTGTGTTTCCATCCGGACGTTACGCCCCTCTGAAGGCCCCTTTTCTGCCCCATAACACACGCACATTATCAATGACGGAATAACAGTCAGCTAACAAGACCACACAAGTATGTATGTGACATGTAAATGAAACAAGCCTTTAAATAAACTGATGTTGAACGTAAGGAAGCAGATTTTAAGTAAAGTTGAGTTAATGTTACTCACTGAAGTGCGACAGCGTCTCTCGGCTCACAGCAGTCCTGTTGTGTCTAATGACGATGGGCTTTTCTGTTGCTATAACACCGCTGACTGCTGCGCACCCACCTAAGCCGCTTGGGCAGTGCGCATGCGCAGGGCAGTTGCAGCATTTTGCCGTTTTAAAGGGGGAAACTGGTGTCCCCATGAGCGGCCATGATGGAGATATTGCATCCCATGTTCGGTGCTATTGTGGTGGGAGCATAGACTGTATATATAAAGGGTGGGAGAAGTATCCAGATATTTTGCTTGCGTATAAATATACTAGCACCAGAAAGTCCCGCATTCAAAATGTTACTTTAGTAAAGTAGTAATTATTAAGTAAGTCAACAGTTTTGTATAAACAGTTGGGTTAATGTATCTATAATAGACATCATATTTATAAGCTTTTTGTAAGCAAAATTCTTAATCAGTCAACTAAATGTACTGTAGTAAAATGTAGAATATTATATCTTAGACTTAGTTGTATTGGAGTAGAAGTGTGATTAAAAGACAATACTAAAGTAGGCTTAAATGCCCAGTCCAATTTATACATATTTATCTATACTTTTCTAGCTTTCTTATTTTTTTATTATATATATATTTGTTGTATGCATATTATAGCATGTATGCATACATGTATGTCACTATGCAGTGTATCTCAGGCACAATGTCCCCTTTTGTATGAAATATATATATTTATATATATTAATATATGTTACAAAAAAAAACTATTGATCAGAAATCTTTTGATGCATTTTAGAAAAAAAGTTGACACTAAGGAATCAAGATGTTATTTTTTTTCTCTTTATTCGTGTGGTAAGAAACAAGCAGCCACTTACAGATTCAACAGTTTCACTGTCCGACACGACAAAAACCTACAAACACACACAGCCACCAACCAGTCACAGTGCCTTCAAAACAACAAATCCATCCAACAGTAAAATAATGTAGTTGTATACAGGAGTAGGTTATAGTAAAAAAAAAACAGCACCAGTTGTTGTGAGCCTGCGAGAGATTTACTGCTCCGTCTCCGCGTGGTGCTCTTCATGCATGGGTGTGGGTGTCGCACGAGTGATTCACATTGGCACATGTATTCTTTCAACTAAAAAACAAAACAAACAAACATCCTAAGTATATAGTTCACAGACAAGAGGTGATCATGTATAAATATAATACTGGTAGGCAGGAATGAGAAGAGGATGTTTCTTCAGGCTGTGCAGCTCAATCTTCCTACTCTGTGGACAAGAAATCCCTTTTTATTTACCTACAAACAGGAAGTTTACTCTCAAAATCCTCTACTGAAACTCAACAACATAACATCCCTTCTTGCAGTTACTTTCAGGGCCCTCTACGTGCGATCTCTAGGGTATCATCATCCTCATTTATTAGCTGTGCAATCAGATTAGTGTGTTCATAAACGGTGCAAACGGTAATTACTAACCTAGAGACTCAGATTGAAGGAAATTTGACAACTAAATCTTTAATTTTATTCCCTTTTTTTCATTCCTGTTCATGCTCCTTTTAATTTACTATATTCTTCTTTATGTCTACTGGCAATAACACAGACGTTTACACTTGTTTTATGCACATTTTGATGGATGAGGCCCCTGGTGTTTTTAGCAGCTCCTACTTTCCCTCAGACAGTAATCTTTCTGGTGAATCTCTCTCATTTATTTAAATCATTTCAAGCCCTAATGTTATGTTCTGTACTATCAGCAGAAAAATAACAGAACGCTGTCCTTCTTGTTTACCCCTCTAGATCACTTACTCTTTATCCTTCCTTCTCACCAGTCTTTCCAAAGTCTATACATACAGAAAAGACTACAATACTTCTGTAACTCAGTCTATAAAGTCCTGCTACTGTAGGTTGCAGGTGAGGCAGGATGTTCCTGTGTTGTCTCAGTCAGAGGTAATGGAAATAAACGGATGGATATTATTAGATAGTGTAGCTGTAAAATCACACAGTGTTTTTGAAGCAGTTGGATTTCATCACCACGCAGCACAGATCACCCGTTGGAAATAAAAACAGTGTTAGAGGAACCCGCGGTGCAGCAGGAAGCCGAGCACAGTGGGTGTTCAATCACAAACAGAATCCATACACGTCTTCATGTGAGTCTAAAGCTATGGTGCCTACAGTGTATGTGGGTGATAGATATTTCACTGAATCCAGTTAATATTTTTAAATAATTCAGTCGACATCACTTCCAACCTTCAAAAACTGTACTGGTTTTGATCTCTCAGTTTGTTTAGTTTGCGTTTCTCCGCGGGATACGAGCAGGGTGATAATGAGCTCACTTTAACGTTAGTATGATCAGCTTGCATTTGGCAACACATTTTAAATTCATATATAGCCCTTCACTCTCGTGTAAATAATCAGGTCAGTCACTCCAATTAAGACACAAATTAGATTTGTAAAAGTCACTTTGGCGCACCGTCAGTTAGTTCTTCATCAATCACAGACGTGTGCTTTATTTGTTTGCCTCTCTTAACTTTGATCCTGTGATTGAAAATCAGTGCAGTTTTCCTGGTTGCGCAGAATAATACAAAACAAGGAGACTCGGACGGGTGAAGCTCCGGCTGCAGTGATTACCAGATACCACTGGAGCGCCCGCCGGGGGGGGCCAGGATCCGAGCCGAGGACCTCTTCGGGACGTGGTCGTCAACCTGAGACCCTGAGAGAAAACATGACAACACACAAATCAACAAAAACTAAAGTCACAAGTATAGGTTAGTAAAAGAATAAGAAGGGTCAATTGTTCTTATTGTTTTGCTTTATACTGCTAAAATACAAAAAACCGCTGGGTGAATAAAAGAAAAGAAAGGATATTATTTTCCACACATAGAAAAGGTAGAAATAAAATAATTAATAGTTATATTTGAAATATCAAAATGAAAAAGAAACAGAACAGGAACCAATCGTCACCCTTTCGATTAACCCTGAATCGTTCTAAAATCGGTCAATAAAATGTCAGAAAATAGTGAAAATGTCCCTTTCAGATTGTCACATTTCAAGGGGAAGTTTTGAAATATCTTGTTTTTAGAGTCCATATTCTAGAGGTTGAAAATACAAAATTACTTCAATCAATCAATTTATTATCAATATACTTGGCGATCAATTTGGTCCATTGACTTAAAGGGGACCTATCATGCAAAATGCACTTTTTGATGTCTTTTATACATAAATATGTGTCCCCCGGTGTGTCAGGGAACTCACGCAGCGTCAGAAAATAAAACCCTCTCTCTTTTCCTCCGTACCCAAATCTAAAAAAACGGGGCTACAACGGAGCTGATCCAGATTTGCGTCCGATATGACGTAATATCTGAAATGTGGACCCACGGCCCTATCAGAAACGTTGCTATCAGAAACAATGCCCGACTGTTTTGGACGTAATATGGTCGGTGTTTACATTAGCATCGCTAACACTCAGAGCTAACCTGTACTGGAGAGCATGTGTGTGAAGAAGCAGGAAATAAAAAGGAACTCACCTTGTGGTATAACCGGCAAGAGAGAAAGCCTTTGAGCTCCATACTGTTTCAGAAATAATCCTTGATAATCCATGATATGGCGTTTCATCACGGCAGTATTTAGTTTAGACAGTAGCTGCCGGGTCCCGCATGAGCTCAGCCACCTCCCTTTTTTTATCAATTTTTTTTTTTTAAAGCTTTATACCTCAAATCAGCACTTTTGAAACAGGAAGTGAAATAGAGGGATATGAGGCATGGCTAGAATGGGTGATCTGTTTGGTATTTTGAGCAAAACACTTCATAGACATGTTTTTTATATATTTTTATATATCTGAGACCTATGCTATTGCCTGAAAATAGCATGATAGGTGACCTTTAATTTTTCTTTCAAAAAAGTTCCTGAGTGCAATATCATAGTCTTTGATGTGTGTTGTACCGCACAAGTGGTCTTCCTGTTGACAGTTACTGAAAAATATAACCCCCTCAAATGTTATTATGTTTCTTCCAGCTACCTGAGAGGCTGAAGGAGGACTCGTGGAGGTCTCGGACCCCCTGGTGGGCGCGGGGGACGCCTTTGGGGTCTCCTTCCATGGGGCCCAGACCGAGTTCCTTCTTCATAGTGTTTGCCACCTTGGCTACATCACCAGAGTAAGGGTCCCTGTCCACCCCTTTAATCGCCTGAGTCTGAAACAGGGATGGAGGGGGGGGGGGAAATGTTAACAGGTAATACAGCAAACACACACATACAGGTTTGTGATTGTATACCCTTTTTTCTGCTAGTCATCATCAAATAAATTAGTACATTTGAACTGTTCTCTTTATGAAGAAATGTGAACACAAACTTTGTCATATGGTGAGGTGTTCCTGGAGGCCATTTACAGTATACAAAAAACAATATAATAGTAATAGCAATAATAGAAGCTCTGTTAATAGCTTTCATCATGCATATAAAAACATGTTTAAATGACCTGGCACTTAACGTTTTAATCAAAATGAGCATTCACAAAAAAATGACTAAACCTAATAGTTTTTGCTTTTATAGTTACAGTAGATAAACTAGAGTATAGATACACTTTTAAAGGAGGACTTGATATAAATGAATATTGAAAGCATTGCACAGTAAGTCCCATGGGTTAGCAGTACAATCTATTAGTGTAAATTAAACAGAGCAGCATCCTTGCAGAGGCTGGCTGTAATAGGGGTTGGCAGACGGCAGAAAAACCTGTGTCAGCGAACAGAGGAGCATTAAATCCTTTTTATCGACTGTCAAACCAGTGCAGATAGACACAGTAGAGGATGGGTGTGTCTGCAGCAATGCTGAACATATTTTCTTCACAAAGTCATCAGATTCATTTAAAGTAAACACACCTTTTCCCTCTGCACCATCTTTTTGTAGAGGTAGTCAGGGAAGGTGCGCTGAGGGTAGAACTTTCCGGATCCCTCGGCACACATGAACACACCGTTCTCACACACCAGGCGTCCTCGGCTGATGGTGACCAGGGGGACGCCGTGGCAGCGCAGACCCTCGTACACGTTGAAGTCTCCGCCCTGCACCTGAGTGCTCACAGAGATCGTCCTGCACACACACAGTAGACATTAAAGGTCACCTATTATGCAAAATCCACTTGTTCATGTCTCTTATACGTCAACATGTGTCCCCTCTGTGGAAAGAGACTCTGAAAGTTTCAGGAAAAAAGATTCTCTCTCTTTTTGTCCTGATCCATTTATATAAAAACCTGTCTGAAAATGAGCTGATCAGATTTTGGCCACTTTATGATGTCATAATGATGTTTTGGCTTGTGTAACCATTAGCCAATCAGCAACCAAGGTAACCCCCCCCCCCCACCTTATCACCTGAATCTCCTCCTAGAGCACCATTGTGTTCTTTTTAACCAAATATCTCTCAGAGGGGCGTGGGGAGGGGCTCCTTATTTTCATCTAAAGTAACAGACAGAGAATCAGCACTTTTGAAACAGGGCTGAAACAGAGGGGATTATGGGATGCTGCAATGATCTGTTTCGTGTTTGGAGGCAAACACTTCAGAGACATGTTTTGTATATATCTGAGACCTATAATGTATTGATGAAAAACAGTAGAATAGGGGACCTTTAATACCAATACATGTTTAACTCAATAAAGCATTAGCAGCCAGTACCTCGCTGCATCTGGGTCCCAGACCACCAGATCAGCATCAGCTCCGGGGATGATACGACCCTTGCGTGGGTACAGGTTGTAGATCTTTGCAGCGTTAGAGCTCGTCACTGCCACAAAACGATTCTCATCCATCTTTCCTGTAACCTGCAGGTAATAATGCATTTAAAACATGTAAGAAAAAATGCAACCAGGACATTTTGTTAATAATCTGTGAATTGTTGTTATTGTCAGAGGATTCTACGGCATATTATTTAGTTTGCGTTGGTTTTGCGGCCCAGTTAAGGCGATGCTGATGTGGGGACTTTGATACTTAAGGTAATTATGAGAGTAATGAATTGAATGTAATCAAAATAGACGTTAATATACAGTTTTTCTTTGACTGAGAAAAACCCAGAAATGTATTCTAACTAAAAATGAAGTTGAAACACAAACTAACAAAGGAAATTTGACACAGACAAAAACCGAACACAAGTTTTTGTGTGTGTGTGATGTGATTGTGTGTATCGTACGTACCACTCCCATCTCCCACATGACACTCATCCTGTCCTGGACTCCAGCCAACCCATGAGGGATCTTTGTGAAGTCCTCCTTACCCAGAGCTCTCTGCTTGGTGCTGAATGGACGGTGCTCCGATGCCACCACACTCAGAGAGTCACTGGATACAGGTTATGCATTTTAAGAATCTGAATTGTCTATAATCATTAACCAGTATGACAAAAAAAATGTTGTTTATGTCTGTAGGGAGCACATACTTGGCCAGCAGGCCCATGAGGTAGCTGGGTGTGTTGGGGTCGTTGCGGAGAGGAGGGACGGTGACGTGGGCGGCAGCATGAATCCAGTCCTGGTGGTAGTAGTGCATCCCGTTCAGAACAGCATGAGCTACTGTGGTCTCTGCGTGGACCACTTTACCTGCAGACAGAAAACCAAAGAGGTTAGTTAAAAGAATCTTTTTTATCATCTTCTTCTTTATATCAACACCACTGTCTCTCACCTTGCATCTTAGCAGCAGCAATCATGTCTCCGGCAGACACACTGGACACATTCACCAGGTAGATCGGGCAGTGAGCCTGCAAGCACAAGAGCATTCATTCATGTATCAAAGACAGACAGACACATACACACAGACAAGAAAATATTTGTTTCATCTGTTTACCCTGTTGGCGATGGTGATAGCCCTGTGAGTAGCCTCAGACTCAAGCTGTAGAAAATAAGACGGAGGAGTTCAAACAAGTACTCCATATCAATGATGAGCAGAAAACCAACTTATTTTTATTCACATAAATGTAGAAGCACAAAATCTAAATAAATACAAACTGGGTTGATAGGAAATGACCTCAGATGTGAATTTACCTCCTCTGGTCGACTGATCTCAATCCCCTCCGGTCCATTGATGCCCAGCTCCAGAGCCTCTTTGGCACCCTAATAACACGCATATAACATAACTTGAATCAAAACACAATCATTGTGAGCATGAACAAACAACTTTTCTTTCACAGAAAATGTTAATGTTATTGAATTTTCATAAAAACATTCACTATTATATATAAATAACTACCGTCTTGATTTGTATTTTTACATTATCATAGCACCAGATGCAATAGAGGGATTTATTGCAGAAGTCTGTCTGTGTTCTAAACTGCACAAGGTTACAGGACTTTCTTGTTGTCAGAACATTGTTTGTACCTCCACGGCTTATTTTGGACCTGCAGGTGTTATAAACCGTAAGCATTATGTGGTTTTTACTCACACTTAAAGGTAGGGTAGGTAAGATTGGAGAAACCAGCTCGAGTGCGCTAGAATTTGAAAGTACACAGCCGAAAAATATCTGCCCCTTCCTTCAGACTTCCTTACAGAGCCCCTCCTCCAACACACACGAACGCACACATGACCAATGAGGGCACGAGATAAGTTTGTGCACAAGATGGAAGGCTGACAGGCAGGTAAGCCATCCAGTTATTTTAGCCGGGCCGGCTCAGATGATTGGTCGTGCTTTTTACAGCGCCACGGCTTCCACAGATGACATTTTGTTATGGATTTATTGTCAAAGCACTTAATGTATTCATTGCTATCGGGATGTTAAGAGCATTCCATGGAATATAACAAAAAGTGTTTCTGAAGTGAATTACCTACCCTACCTTTAAGATCTTCTACACCAAAGACATAATGTGCATGTTGTGTCTGTGCTGCACTGTGCGTTTTGTAAAAAATCCATCATGTGGCACTCTGATAAATGAGATTGGTGGCATAATTGATCTGTGCAGTTCTAATTTTCACTGTGCTGACCATCTCTCATTAGAAGGAGAACATGGAGGGATATGTGTGTGATTGGTTGACGTTCACCTCTGCCACCAGCTCTCCGTTCTCGGCGTGGACGCGAGCGATGGCCCCGATGTCCTTACAGGTCTGCAGCGACTGGTACAGCTCCGAGTCCCTCAGCATCATCGAGTCTTTGTAGGCCATGTACATCTGGAAGGAGTTCACGCCATGCTCCCTCACCAGGGTCTCCATCTCATTGCGCACCTGAACACAGGGCAAAGGTCAGAGGTTAGAGGTCAAGAACAAAGTCTGTAGCAGGGAAGAGCATATGTCAGTCTGAATGAGGGCATAGAGCTGTGTGCGTGTGTGTGTGTGTGTGTGTGTGTGTGTGTGTGTGTGTGTGTGTGTGTGCGTGTGTGTGTGTGTGTGTGTGTGTGTGTGTGTGTGTGTGTATCTGTGTGTGTTATATGGGGCATGAAATGAGCTTGGAGAGCAGCCAGAGACAGATCACATTGCTGCATGTCAGGAATCCAACACAGACATTCACTGCAAGAAAAAATCTATTTAATTCACTCAAAATGCAATAAATGTAAACTATATAGTGTTTAGTGATAAATACTCATAAAACATCGATACTGCATTAAAAGGGGGTCATCACAATTCAAATAAGTGAGAAAATGTCATCATTAAAGGGTATGGAAGAAGTACTGCATACAGTATTTAGGATCTTCCTTAATTTAAAAATTCAAGATGTCATACGGCACAACAAGATAAACTTTAATCGACATATCTAAGCAAATGTGGCAGTCCTTTAGTGACCACACTGAACCTAAAATGTAAATGTAATTGCAGACTTACAGTAATTATAGTTATACTGGCAGTGCATTATACACACATCATCAAATCATTATAAACTGAATATCTGTTGGTTTCAGTTATATAATGTTGGGCTCTGGGAATTCAAAGACGGCATTTTAAAATATTTTTAATGTATCAGTAAATAAGAATAACTACCAGAGTTTTTGAAAATGCTTAGAATACATTTTTTCAGCCCCAGTTGCAATTATTACAAGTATGCTGTTGAACATGGCACTATATGTAATAGTATGTGGCACATGCCGAAGGCTCGGTGAGGCACGTTGACTCATACAATCTGCCTAACGTGCCCAGTGAGCATGTATGTTAACCTACATCGTGCAGGGTTTAATCTAGGTCATTACACACTTCACCCACATATGAAAAGGGTTTGTCTGCTTTATTATTCATTTAGCAAAGATAAAAGCATGAGAAAGACAACAGCAAAGACTCAAATGTGTTTATTGAAGACAAAGAAGAGTGTCCATGTTCTGTTTTTGGGTCTTACCTTCGGCCCCCACCAGGTGACCCCGACGTGCAGGGCGTAGTCGCAGCAGGCCTTGGCGTCGGCCAGAGCTCGGCAGTTCTCGTAGGCGTCCACCAGAGAGCAATGCTGTTCAGGCAGGGCCAGAGCCATCACCATGGTGGTGCCACCCATCAGAGCCGCCTGGGGGGGGGGGGGGGGGAGGAAGCAAGGAGGGAGACAAGTGGAGGCAGAGGAAGAGAAACAAGAAAGATTGATTAGAAGTGAGAACAATGAATCCACTATAACGCACAGACACTGTTTGTGCTGGTGACAATGAGCCATAGTCTTTCCTTATGAACTGCTGTCTCATCATCATAAAGTGTACTTGTTACTAGTTGTGTTTCAAAATCAAAACAAATGGAAAACGTGAAAAGGTTTGGCTTCTTGGAACAATCTTAGAAATTGGTTTCCATATACGATTCAACATAAGTGATCAGGAGTAAAAAAAGAGCCCCAGAGAAGAGCCTTTGTAAGAACGTCCAAACTTTACTGCTTCTAAACAAATCTTTTCTGAACCTGGTGCCTGTTTTGCACAAAAAGACTTGAGTAAACTGAAGCAGACAAATATGAGACATGAAAAGGAGAATAAGAGGATGTGAATGTGGCGAATGAAGAAAGTCAGGGAGGTAGAATAAACCGAAACGATGAGATGAAAGATGGAGGAGTGATGGAGAGAAGGGAGCGGTCTGCAGTGACTCGTTTCGCTCGGCTGATTGGTAAATGCACTTTGCTGTAGCCATGACAACAGATAGTGCTCAGCCATGCCTGTAGCATGTCCCCACCCTCCTCTTCCTCCTCCTCCTCCTCCTCCTCCTCATCTCCCTGCTTTCTCCATTCAAAATGTGCACTGGCCAAACAGAGTCTAACAGGGATATTGCACTTAGGAGTCATGGGCAATAATCATTTATGAAATAAGGAATGGACGTGTGCTATCCCTGCAGACTTTCTTTCATTTATTTTCACCTCATATAAAGAAAAAGCAACCAGAATTCAAGCATCACCTCTCTATCATTTCTACAACCAGCCTGAATGAAATGCTACTTGATTTAAACACAACGCTGGTTAATGTCTCAGCGTTGAGTCACTCCAGACGTGTGGCAGACAGGGGCGGGGCATCTGGTTTCGAGTGACATTTCCACCAGCCAACGAACTATCAGGTTTCCCATTACCATAGTAACAACTCCGAATCATCTGCAGCGTCAGAGTCGAAGGTCTCTGCATATATGTGTGTGTGTTAAGAGTGTCACTGATCACTGTCAGTGTGTGTGTGTGTGTGTGTGTGTGTGTGTGTGTGTGTGTGTGTGTGTGTGTGTGGTGTGTGTGTGTGTGTGTGTGTGTGTGTGTGTGTGTGTGTGTGTGTGTGTGTGTGTGTGTGTGTGTGTGTGTGTGTGTGTGACGGAGAGAGAACAGGGGACATGGACACAGCTGGGGAATGTGGGATGTGTGTCGGCCTTAATTAAGATTTACTGCCAGTGCATTTCACAGAAGAAGAAGAAGGATAGTGGAAGAAAGAGAAACAATAGCGAGAGAGAAAATATGTCGGAAAACTATGTGTATGTATATTATATTATGAGCGTTTCAGAAGCCAGAACCAAAGACAATTCCAACAGAAAGGAAAAAAAGAAACTGTCTGCAGGAAAAAATGTCTTTCATCCTGCAGACAGTTTCCTCTTTTTAGGCTGCATCCAAAATTAGATGTCCTACATTCAACACCTGCTGACGATTTAAAATAAATTGTAGTAAATGATCAGTCAGTGTTGTATTCTGATGAAACGGTTTGTAACTGGTGTTGCTGAGCAGAACGAAGCTGACAGACACGGCGTACAAACCAGCCTCGAAGACACATGCTGGTTTTTATAGCCATTTCCATAGTAACAACCTCATTTATTCTTTTCACACAAATCCATCATTACAGGTTTATGATCACAAACATGAGCAGACAAAGCCTATTCCTTCCCACTGAATTTATTTTTGATACTAGTCAAGATGCAAAAATTGACAAAAAACACCAAATGACTGCCAGATTAATTATTTGACCTACAGTAGTACTTATTTCATTTTCAGTTCTTGTTTTGTTATCCTGTAGTACAACATGATCATACATGGTTTGAATCTAATAGCTCCCATGTAAACCTGACCAAATGTATTCCCCCCTTAAACATATTACCCCAAACAGTGTTTTATCATGAATCCCCTGCTCTATTACAGACCCCTGATGCCTACTGTGAAGATAATCCCCTGAGAAGAAAGTGAAGCAGACTGAGGGGGGGGGGGGGAGAGGGGGAGACATGTGAGATCTGAGAGGATGAGACGATCTTTATATGTTGAACTCTGGGAAAGGCTATCAGTGTGTCAGACAGATTACACTGCAGCTCTGTGATCAGCCCCTCTCAGCCCCTCTCAGCCCCTCTCAGCCCCTCTCAGTGCTGGTATTTAATTTTAGTAGATTATTCATTCTTTGTTAACATAACAGATTAGACCCATGGCGCATACTACACCTGCGTTCTATTCCCCAACTCTCACATTTCGTGTCTTTCCCCGCTTTTTCAGTGGTAGGCAGATCATTTTTTGGTTTTCAAAACTATATAACATATATATTTGTTAGTTTTTTATCCGAGATCAATTAATTGAAAGTGTACATACAGTATAGCTAAATATCTGGTCACACAACTTTAACACAAGGTTTCTACATTGCATGTTCTCTGCCCTCCTGCTGGGACACACACACACACACACAGGGGGGGGCGGGGAGACACGGGGGGTGGGGGAGATGCAGAGGAAACAGTAGGGGGGAGGGAAGAGAGGAGGAAGGAAGGAAAGCGTGAGAGGGGGAGAGCACTGTAACAAAACGACAGGAGGGAGGGAGGGAGGGAGGAGAGAGGATGCTGAGAGAAATAGTTTTGGGGTCCATTCACAATTTGCACATGGGCCGTTGCCACAGTAACGCAGTCGCCATAGAGATCAGACAATTCTGCCATGTTCATGCATGCACACATTTGTAGCCTAAGAGCGGGTTAGTTGCTATGCAGCAGGGTCAGTTAAGGGGGAGTAAAAGCTGGCATACGGATGATTCAATCCCCCCCAAATTCCTCTCACCCCATTTCAGCTGGCATTCCATCAGACTCTGACCTCATTTCACTGCAACGCCCTGCAGGTAATAACGTTTCAAACCTGCTCTAGAAGACGTTAACTACACCACAGTCTGAACAATTTGACCTAATGTAGGAACTGTCTTAAGAAGGATGTTGGTCCTTGACAAGGCTGCAAAATGGATTTCTTTTGGATCTTTGTTCCTAGCTTACATTATGTAGCGTCTGCCACACCATCATACCAACGAGTTTACGCCTTTGACTTCAATCAACCAGGGGAAAGAAACCCCAAAAAAAAACAGCCCACAAAAACCTCCAGAATGCACTGCTGCAGGCAACAACTACACTCCCTCTTTTGAATTTTTAAGTCTCCTAATTATTAAATCATCCTCTGCTCTGAGTCTCAGTGGAAAACACGCAGAGCATCCATCGACAATAAATGAATTAACCCTGTGTGCATTAAAAGATTGAACAGCTGTGACAGAAGTCTTTGCATCCACACCCAAACACTTGTGACAGCTGTTTGTGTTTGCATCACATGTGGTCATTAGTGTTGACGATCGAATGAAGCAGAGTGGAGATCTGCATGTAGACACGGCAGAGAGAGAGAGAAAGTATGTCTGTGTGTGACAGCTGTCTCTGGTTTCTAAATGTGTTCAATTACAGGCATGCTGGAGAGCTTTGTCAGTGTGTGTGTGTGTGTGTGTGTGTGTGTGTGTGTGTGTGTGTGTGTGTGTGTGTGTGTGTGTGTGTGTGTGTGTGTGTGTGTGTGCGTGTGTGTGTGTGTGTGTGTGTGTGTGTGTTGTGTGTTTATACCTTGGTCCCGCTGTAGAAGTCATCCTGAATGCTGGCGTTCATGAAGGTCTGCTGCAGATGCACGCTGGTGTCTATTCCGCCCGGCAACACCAGCTTTCCAGAGGCGTCAATCACCTTCGCCCCGCCCGGTATCATCAGCTCCTTTCCAACCTGCCACAGAGAGCACGAGCACCACATTTAACATACTTTATCCAGAAGTGTTTTTTTTTCATACAGTATAATGTGAACCACAGACTAGAACCAGGAGGACCTATAAAGGACAATTGGTGTTTGAGTATATGTGCTTTTAATCTAGTCCATTAAACTGTGAATAGAGTGGTCATAGTAAAGAGGGCCAATCAAAGACAGGAGTTAATACTGAATGGTTCATTACACCACAGCCACAGTAAGTGATTGATTAGGATTAAATGTTCACTTATCATGTGGAACATCTCAATATTTACTGGATGTATTTCAAGGAGTTTCATAATTTCAAGGAGTTTCATACATTAATGATTCCCAGAGGATCATTCCTAATTACTTAGGAGAACCCCTGAATGTTTTTATCTAGCGCTGAGAGTAAACTGTCTTTTCATACTGAAATATTAAGAGATATTATAATTAGGAATGTTTAGTGCAATGTCATAACAATTACTGATTGAACTGTTATAAAATGTAGTACACATATTGATCACCTCCTTCAGATTCATTGTAAAAACTGTGGTGATCCATTATCTTTAATCTATCGCGAACATCAGGTCCAAATTTAGAGTTGTCATTCCTACTAACATGCTAAACCAAGATGGTTAATGTGATAAACATTATAGCTGCAAACATAGGCATATTAGCATTGTCACTGTGAGCATGTTGGCTTGCTGACGCTAGTGTTTGGCTTAAAAGTGCTTATAGGTGATAGCATGATTGCATCAAGGATATAGAGAAACATCTTAAAACTATTCTTATAATCTTTTAAAAGTGTCTTGTCGATCTAAAGTAAATCCATTGTATTATCATTTATGATGTGTTTCATAAAGTACAGTCGAGTTTCCAGGTCTGAATCATCCTCTTCACATGAACCGATTCTTATTGCCATGACAACATTCTGCGAGCTAATTATAGTGTTTACTATCATCATGTACAGCCACAGGGTTCATTCTCTTCATACTGTATTATTATTGTGAAGTGAGTCACACTAACAGCTGGGGATACACTGGGCAGAGAGTGTGTGTGTGTGTGTGTGTGTGTGTGTGTGTGTGTGTGTGTGTGTGTGTGTGTGTGTGTGTGTGTGTGTGTGTGTGTGTGTGTGTAGTATATTTGAAAGCGTGGTCTTGAGTAAGAATGCATGTGAATGTGGTGTACCTGCTGAATGATGCCGTTCTCAATGTAGACGTCTGCTTCGTGGGTGAAGTCATCGTTGACCACCTTCCCTCCCTTGATGAGAATACGCATCGAACCCATGTTGGCCATCCTACTGGAGGAAAAAAAGGAATGCATTTAAATCAATATTACATAACAAACTGGTGATGAAGACACTGCAGAGTTCTGTACAGGCAGAACATAACCATGAAAACATACATGCCAGGCATTCTGAGTAAAACTAACATTTCACCACAGAGACAAATATATTTTGCCTCGTGCAAAGCAACCATTGACTCCACCAAGAGGCTCCTATTAGTGAGACATGAATCACAATCACAATTCCTTTATTTCGTTCAACTAACTGATTTTATCTGTTTTATTGTGTTGCACTGTTGGAGGAGCCTGGGACCGGAGATTTTCATCGACATAACTACAGTGTAGCTATTTACAAATGACAATAAAAGCCTTGAAAAATTAATAATAAAAATCAGGCAATAGTCAGGTGGAGACAGATAAAGAAAACTTAGCCAAAGAAAATGGTTCTAGTCATAAAAGAGATTTGTTTTAAATAGTTGAAAGCTAAAATATAACTCTGTGACACAAGGGTAGAAGATCAAGCCAGGTAGGCAGAAATAGTCCTGACCATAACATATATTTTAGTGCTCTCTGATGATCTAAAATTAAGATGACTTTAGAAACAAGGTCTAAAGGGCTTTACTATATAAAAAGTAACAGATTCTTTCAATTCAGTATGTTATTTCTTTATAGAACAATGTTATTTTTTCTATTAAGTAAACTCTACTACCATCAAGAAGAACACTTGATTAATCAGGGTATATGCAGGAATCCTGAAGTCAAATGTAATACCTTTTAAGACCTTTTTTAAGACCCTTTCCATACATTTTAAGACCTCATCGCCACTTAGAGTTTTAACCGGTTACATTGGCGACACACTTTACCTCACATTTACTATATACAGTATTGATTGTCCTTCCTCCTTATCTTCCAACCATTTGGACGCAAACTTGCATTTCCCCATAACGATGTTGTTTAACAACCGGCGTAAACGGACCTTCGCGCGCTATCAAGCAGTGAGCGCGCGATGTCCTGTTCAGATGACGTCAAACCCAACGGGATGCCATAAATAAACTACACAGAATCACACTACACACCTACGCAATGATTACATTCAGTCAAACTGTAGAATACAACCTCTTTGGACAATTTATATACTTATTGAAAACAAGCTACAACATGTAATACCTTGGAAAATGCCGTTTAATACTTTTTAATACTTTTTAATAGCCTTAATTTTCGCTAAATTGTTTTATCAACTTTTAATACTTTTTAAGACCCCGCGGACACCCCGTTAATAAACCTGGCGTTGCGCCCCTCTTGGCAGGAACCGACTTGCTAAAGATCTTTTCATAGTCCTGCCTCAACCAATCCAAAGCCTCTGCTAACAAGAGTGAATGCAAAGGCTTCTGTGTGGTGAGGAGAACAGGAAAGCACAAAGTGTCATAGTGACAAAGAGTGGGAATGTGCTTCACAGCTTCTGTTGCAGTTATCTGAATGTAAGAAAAAGCTTTCAATCAAAAACTTGCACAAGGGGACAACTATCCATTGTTACACACATCTTGTATTTTGAGCTAGAGTTTCTAATATATTCCTTTTGTCTTGTAAGAAATACAACTTCCTTTAATTAAGCAGAGGATATATCATTTACAAATCTATTACAGCATCTGCGGGAATACAACAGAGTTTCTACTGGAGGTAGAAAGCTGAACTATATTCAAACCATTTTAAAATGTACTAAGGATTGATGACAAGGAATCAATATCACTTTAGTTTTTAGTGGGCAGGTTACGCTAGGAAGGATGAAACGACTCGCTTCTTCAAAGTAATAATCAGCAGATGGAATGATAGTAAGTACAAATATTGAAAGTAAGTAGTGTTGAAGGTCCTACAGGGCTTTTGTCTCATTAACCTAATTTCAGCCATATCTGTATTTTGCAGAATTAGCACTTTTCAAAACTAATTGGTGTGTGTCTCAAAAATAATGATAACTCCTGGCGATGGTAATTTTAGGCTGTTATGTTGCACTGAGTCAGGACATTTACATGCACTTCTTTTCTTGTTTTATTATTTAAAAGGTTACATATTTTATATATCAAGTGAGTGTTGTTATTCCAAATATTATCTGCTTGTTCTGAGTCTCTACATTAAATCAAATTCATTTTAACACCAATGATTTAATGAATGTCATACTGTTTCTGGCTAAATGCTAGGCTTCACTTTAAAATTCTACACACAATCAAATAAATTGTCATTGCCTCTTTTTTCGTGTTTCTATGGGTATCTACATATTTCAAAGTACAATGTACATGAAAAAGTGTTTATTTTTGCCATATCATTTGGTCCCTACGTGATACTTCCAGATAATAATTGAAAAAAGCAGCATGAGGAAGTCTAATGGGATCAACAAACATCCCTCTGTGTGCATGTGTGTATTCTGCATGGATGGCTGTATGCAATGTGTTTGATGACAGGACACAATGGCCTCCCAGTCACACAGAATCACACTCAAAGAGATGGAGGAGAATGGAGAGGGAGGAAGGAGAGGAGGGGAGGAGAGAGAACAGTGAACAGAATAATGAGGAGAGAAAGTTGTACCCCCAAACAGAGGACAGAATAGAGGTGTAGGAAGGTTGGTCAGAGATCTCTAAAATAGGGAAATATGAATTGAACAACATCAAATCTACTGTCTCAGCATTAAATAGAAGTATTTGGCACGTGGGTCGAACTTCTGATGATCTCAGATCTGATTTAGGGGCAAAGAAGGGCTGCCAAATAGATGGAGAACTTAAGAAGAGAGAGGCAGAGGAAAGAGATGAGTCCACTGACAGAGGAAGAGTAGAGGGGGGGTTGATGACTGGAGATGAAGTGATGGTAGTAAACATGGTGGTGGTGATGGGGGGGGTGTGCGGTATGGGAAACAGTGCCCTA